ACCTTCGTATTTGTAATATTAGTAGCCGTAGGACACCCAGTTCACCCAGTCGTCCAAATTGTATTCGACCATAATTAATATTTTTGACACTAAAGCTTGTTAAAAATTACTATACAAAAAAAAAGAAAATCGGTCGACAAACAGAGAAAAAAAGGGACGAGGCGAAAATACGATGAGGCAGACATTAAATAAATCTATATATATTTTTCATGATTTACCATGTCTATCACTAAATATTATGTTAAATAAAAAAATATAATACTTAAAAAAAAAGAGTGAGTGCAATTCACACATCGTAGAAGTGAAACTTCAGAAAATGATATGAATATAGAGTATCAGGAGTAGGATAATCATAAGGATTTTTTTATATTATTTTTACCAAGTTTAAAAGTTATTTTACATTTTATTTGACATAAATATAAACATTACATAATAATCAGTAATGAATTTTATTATTTTTCACTTCCTGTGTAATGTATTCTATCAAATAACAACGGTTACCATGGCATCATCGCAATGTATTCTATCTCATTCTATCGCCGGCTTAATCCTATATATTTATATGTTTGTCTCTTTTTACTGTCGCATTTCCGTTGCATCGAGTTTCAAAGTTTCAAATCACAACGATTCTAAAGAAGTTTCACTTCAAAATTTAAAAAAATCTAGCGACTAGGTCCTGACGAGATTCGAACTCGCGACCTCCTGTTTACTAGACAGGCGCTTTAACCAACTAAGCCACGGCGCCGTTATAACCACTTGTGATATACTTGTAGGATTCGTAATACCCACTTTCCATTTATCTGATTAAATTTAGAGATATTTTTTAATTTTTAATTATGATTCGGTACTTAGAATAAAACCGATTATAATAAAACAAAGTAAAATATATTACGTAAAATATTGTACAATAATGTTTATATATAAATAGGCGCATATCTGATATTTTCATGTGCGAATTATATCCAAAATGACTACCACTTGTCTTACGGTGAAGGAGAGCATCGTCAGGAGAACACCAGTATGTCTTAGAGAACCTAGCAAATTTTTGAAAGCCATGTGAAGCCAACCCGCACTTGGCCAGCGTGGTGGACTATGGCCTGATTCCCCTCGTATTGAAGGGAGGACCACGCCTTGCAGTGGGACTTTTTAACAAAAAATAAAAACCGACTTCCAGGCACTAAAATGTAAATAATAACTAAACGGAGGTTTTCATTTAGAATAGATACCTAATCAGATATTTTCGAAGTCGGTGCCAGCCGGTGCAAAGCAAATCTAATATATTTCGATACGTTAAATACATATTTACCTATTAAACATTCATATCTTTAAATATTGTAGGCTGGAACCGACTTCCAAAATATTTGATAACCATTTTCATCCCCTTAAGGGATGATTCCGGGATAAAAATATATAAATATTGGTATAAAAATATATAATAATAGAAAATATATAACATGGAGAAAAATATGTCCTATGTCCTTCCCAGGATCTCAAACTATCTTATTACTAAATTTCATCTAAATCGGTTTAGTAGATCCAGAGATTACCCCCTACAACGTCACAAACTCACAAGCGTACAATTTACAAACTCATAAACTTTACCTCTTTATTATATTAGTATAGACAGATTGACGTATAGTATTAGTATTGTAGGTGTATTTGAAAAAAAAACCATCTTATAGAAATATCACTCAATAGGTTACGACACGGTCGCGGTTCCATTCAAATTATATGCAGTAAAGGGGAAAAGTCTTTTGTTTTAAATATTTTAGACGTTAAATTTACTTATTATGATAAGAATTCAGAATTGTTGGTAATATGACCAATAAACATGACCTACCGATTATTTTTTATATAAAAAAACTACTTTTTGTAACTTAAATATAAAAAAGTTAGACATTATTAAGCTCTACAACTTTTCTCTAGAACATAATCATGTATCTCTCATTGTTATGGCAGCGTTCGTAAGAAACAATTTCGTTCGACCGTATTTTCTCCGACTTACTTTGCAAATCCGACTACCATAAAAAAGTATTTTCATTCTTCGGGTTATAATATGACACTCAGAAAGAACATGGCTTTCTATTGGTAAAAGAATTTTGAAAATCGGTTCAGTAGATCCAAAGTTTACCTCCTACAACGTCACAAATTCACAATATCACAAACTTTACCACTTTATAATATTAGTATAGATTAGCATAGATTGATATATTAAAAAAATAATCACTAAACTGATCCATTTGTATTAAAAGTAAACAATCAATTTCTGAAAAATCAGATGTCAAAGCTTTTCGATATGTGAACTTGAAAATTTTCACCAGAAAAGTTCTCTCTATATACCACACCCGTATATGTATAGATTATAGACACTATTAAATGGTAGATAACTAAAAATTATTACTTTTAGAATAAGAAAATTATGGAGATGTTCCATTGAAACTCGATAAGCATTGTCAATATAATTTTAAAATCTATACATATAATAAAATTGTAACTAAGCCGAATCTGTACATTAAATATTTTTTGGAAAATCTTATTGAAATAGACTTTATTATCGATACAGAGACGGAATCTATAGTTTTTAGAGTTTTTGCCTGTCTGTCTGTCTGTCTGTCTGTCCGTTACCACGTCACGGAAAAACCACTGGAGGGATTTTGATGAAATTTGGTATGGTGATAGCTGGTTATCCGGGTCAACATATAGGATACTTTTTACCGCGGGAAAATGTCTAATTTCTGAGAAAAAATACAAAAACTGTAATGTTAGGGTGTACTAATATGTAAAACCTAAGAATTTAGTTTTTAGTCATCTCAACGCGGGCGGAGCCGCGGGCAATGCTAGTAATTTATATAATAGAATCATATCTGTCATTCGATGCTAATATATAAAAGAAGATATAAGATTATATGTTTATAATCATGACTAGGTCCCGGTGAGATTCGAACTCACGATCTCCTGTTTACTAAACAGGCGCTTTAACCAACTAAGCCACGGCGCCGTTAAGATGGCTTGTAATAATATTGGAATATTAACGACCCCTTTTTTATTTCTAATTTTCATTTTCTTGAACCCTTAGCTACAGCTAATAGCTACAGCTATATCTCAACATACTAGTCTAGAACTGATACTATTCCGAACTCTTTAGCCATCAGCATTACAGCATCAAAAAGACGAACCTATAAACTTGCATATATTTTATACTAGCGACTTACACATGCTTAGCTCGGGTATTTGCCTGGGTGCCTAACAGTAGCCAACGTGATACTTACGTGTACTTACTAAAATTCATACAAATCCGTCTAGAAGTTTCAGCGTAAAAAGGGAACAAACATACCCATACATACAAACTTTTGTATTTATAATAGCAGTTCGATAAATCATAAATATTGGATTTATAAATCTATACATATAATAAAATTGTAACTAAGCCGAATCTGTACATTAAATATTTTTTGGAAAATCTTATTGAAATAAACATTAATATCGATACAGAGGCCGAATCTATAGATTTTAGAATTTTTGTCTGTCTGTCTGTTACCGCATCACAAATAACCACTGGAGAGATTTTAATGAAATTTGGTATGGTGATAGCTGGTTATTCGGGTCAACATATAGAATACTTTTTACCGCGGGAAAATATCTCATTTCTGAGAAAAAATGCAAAAACTGCAATGTTAGAGTATACTAATATGTAAAACCTAAGAATTTGGTTTTTGGTCATCTGAACACGGGCGGAGCCGCGGGCAATGCTAGTAAATTATAAAATCCATGGCATATATAGATAATAAAAAATTACAGAATACTGACATTCTTACGTAAATAAAACACCTATACAAACTACTTTGATATTTCATTAGTGTTCGTTTCTATGACATTTCATTCAAATTGATAATTTATTATTCTCATAGATTTTTTTTAATGTTGACTTTTGTATCGATCGAAGACACCCACTCAAAAACATGGCTCGAATTTTTGACTTACAATATTGAATTTTTAAAACGTTATAACGTATGTGTCATCAAAATCGACCAACTGACTTCTTTCATAGCTCAGAATTTTCTCAACCACGTCCACCTAAAAGTCTAAACTTTTTAATAGCTGTTCGTAAAGACTAATCGAATTTAAGATGATTAAAAAGAGCAATTTGAAATAGCCTCAATACCATATAAAATATCATCACTGATCAGTCATTTAAGAATAATACGTTTGACCGACTTCAAAAAGAAGGAGATACTCAATTCCGTACTATAAATTAATGTTTACCCTAGTTTAATTTTATTTTTTGCCGATCTTTACACTTGGAGGATTAAATAGATTTAAATACCCTTTAAGTGTAAACATTTGAAAAATTATTTCTTATTCTGTACTTTCTTGTTTTTACAACTCCTGCACCATTTTGTACTTCTAGGGCCACTGTGTACCGTTGTACGTAGAGTATAAGTCAGTGGTGAGAATTTTGTTATGGAGATATTTGAATTTACAGAATGCTGTGGAATATTAGCAATAAACTCGAATTTGTATTAAAGTTAATGCAGTCATACATACTGCCATGTTCACAGGTGTTTGACAAAAAATATTTCGTTCCTCCAAAGCTTGCGCCGATAACTGCATGTGTAATTGTTTTTTTTAATCACAATGAACGCCATTGTTTCGCCTAGCTAGATTCCAAAACAACATATTTATAAAAAAAAACATATAAAATATATGAGTAACTGTTTTTACGCAGTAGTAGTAATATGTTACGCGATATGATATTATGAATCGGTTTCCAAAATTATTCTCAAAGAATAGGTATATATAAATATCTCGTGTCACGGTGTTTGTGTGGTGGTGTGGTACTCCTCCGAAACGGCTCGACCGATTTTAATGATGTTTTTGTATATGTGGTGAGTATGAGAATAGGTCGTAAAGTATTTTTCACCCCCTATTTAAGTAACAAAGGCGAACCCGAGCGGAGCGAGGCTGAGTCGCTGGTATTAATATATTAAAATGGTTTATAGTGGCAGCAGTAGAGCGGGCAGCGTGGACCGGAGAACCCAGGGCTCAACTACTAGTCTCAGCGCTGATGAAGACAATATCAATGTAGTTGTTAGGTAAGCTTAAGTAACTTCAGCGGAAGATTATATTCCATGCGGACATGACTGTAGAGTAATAATTAAGTGAACATTTTTTTTAATAATATAAATTAAGTAACATTGTCATTTCCTTTATTATGAATAAAATAGGATATATCCAAAAAGAAAAAGTAAAAAAGTTTAAGTAATAAAACTAGGTGCATTGGGTATCTACAGTATTAGATATTATACACAGATATCACCATTTGTCTTTTGGCAAATCTTATTACTAACAGTATGTCGTCCCAGCGCTTATTAGTTATTTGTTCAAATCTTGTTGTACTTTATAGTAGGGAGCTTTTTTCTTCTATTTTAAAAGCTAAGTTTTATTTCTATGAAGATTTATATACATATATAGATAATACACATCTTTTCGGCTTGTTCTAAGCGAAATGTGTATTTTATACCAATTGTTAATTCTTAACATTTAAATGTTAATGATTATGTATTAAAAGCACTTTTTTCGGTACTGACACGACTGGTAGGACTTAATTTAGGTCATCATCTATCTGTGTATTAAACATCCTTTATCTAGCTGTCTCAGCTTGAAGGAGAAGCAAAAATAGATGCAAATTGCACACAAAATATAAAAACTTTCGCATTTATAATACCAGTGGGATGTAAAAACAGTATTTTATAAAATATTATTACTGTTGTACAAGGAAAAAATTGTTATATTTTAGAGTCCGACCAACCAACGATAAGGAACGTTCGATACGAGAAAGACAAATGCTCGAGTTTCCTGGTAAAGGTCAAATTGTTTGCCAGGGGACAGTAGCAGGACAAAAACCCAAAATTTTCTCCTACAACGTTGTATTCGAACCTGCTGCGACCCAAGTAAGTGCCTCTCACAACAACACACTTCCAATATACATATGCTTACATGCTTTTCCCTTTATAAAAGCTTAATATGTCAAAACTCATTATTAAATTTAACATTGAAATTATTAAAAAAAAAGAAACAATATACAAACTAAAATAACAATAACTATTTTTGTATTACTCGTTAAAAATAATGGGAAGCCAAATAATTAACGTCCTCTCAAAAAGTCAAACGAAGCGGGCTATGAACCGAGTCTCGCGCTGACCTTTTCATTTGCGAATAAGTTTCAATATTATGATTATCGATTGCTAATACGGTAAAGGAAAATATTGTAAGGCAAATTGCCTGAAAGAACCCAAGCAGTTATCGAAAGACGTGTGATCGCTTCCACCCTTTGTTTGGCCAGCGGTGTTGAATTATGGCTTCCCCCTCACATTAACGATAAAAGAGTTGAATTATTTATAATAACAAATATAACATTTTTTGCATATAGGAAGACGTTCTAGAATATTCTGGCATCAAACGTCTATTGGAAATGGCTGTAGAAGGGTTTTCGTGTACTGCATTTTGTTATGGACAAACTGGAAGCGGAAAGACACACACGTTGACAGGACCTCCAGGACTTGTAAGTAAGAAAGTGTTTTCTAATAATCTAAACATATACATAATAAAATTCTAACGGAGTCGAATCTTTTCATAAAATATTTTTTGGAAAATCTTATTAAAATGGTAATTACCTATTTATTATTCGATACAGAGACCGAATCTATAGTTTTTAGAATTTTTGTCTGTCTGTGTGCATCACAGAGGGATTTTGATGAAATTTTGTATGATGATAGCTGGTTATCCGGGTCAACATATACGACACTTTTTACTTCGGGAAAATATCTCATCTCTGAGAAATCTAAACCAAACGTTAAAACATAAGTAGGGACGAACCTGAGCGGAGCGAGGGTGAGTCGCTAGTAATCAATATTATATATAATAAATAATTTGTACAGTAAATTATTTATAGTAAATCATCTATTTACCTATATCTTTCAAGTGTAATTACAATTAATAGCGTATTAAGTAGTTTTAGCGTTTACTATAATTTAATATAATAGTTTATAATTATTCGTATATATTTTTAATTTTCGGTACTAGTTTTATTCTGTTTCGGACATACTTCTTGTTTTTTAAAGTTATTAATAATTTTACCTAATTAAATTGCTTACTTGCCAATACAAACTTTCATCCCCATTTTCACCCCCTTAAGGGATGATTTCCGGGATAAAAAGTCAACATAATTATCCTATGTCCTTCCCAGGGTCTCAAACTATCTATCAAAATATCTTCTTACCAAACATCTAAATTGGTTCTGTAGATCCAGAGATTACACCCTACAACCTCACAAATTCACAAACTTTACCTTTTTATAATATTAGTATAGATTTAGATAATTAGATACAATATTTCAAAAATAATACTTGTAATATAATTATTAACATTATTTTTAGGATAATTTTTACGTTCATCAACCTATCAAAATATAAATTGACATGCCTAATATAAACATTCATTACATAATCAAAGAGAGTCGTTAATCAGTTTACGAGTAGGTAATTCTATTTCGACAACCGACACATCGTATGTCATTGTTTAAAACAAAAGTAGTGTCTGCCATTAAAAAGTCATGTGACCACCATAACCTCATGGGTGGATCGATTCGATTATACATTTCTTCTGTATAAATACCGCATATTTTCCAACTTTTAACCGTTAAACGCCATTTGAATTATTTGTAAGGGTTGAATTATATAACTAAGCTTTATGTAAATAAAATATTTATAAAAGATGAAATTATAGACCGACATCAAATTATTAAAACTTTATCTTCGCCCCGGCTTTTTCTGCGTTTTTATTATATTATTCTGTTTTTATGCCCTGCATTGTTGCGCTTATCATATATAGTCGCCCGCGGCTTTGCTTAGTTTTTTTTCATGAAAAGCAAATAATCTTTTTTTCGAAAACACCTTAGACTATAAAATAAAAAAAACAAAATTAGATATTTTCTTATCGGCTGGCCGTAAATAGTATGAAAATAAAAAAAATATTTTTTTAAAGTATTCACAAAAATATGCTACTAAAAATAATCAAAAACAAAAATCTAGCAAAGTATCTTGAACAAAACCATTTTTATGTACTCTAAAGTAGCCTAGTAAAGTCGTCCTTGAACATTTTCTGTAGACGTATATTAGGTACTTACCAAAACGACAAAATATAGGCCATTTTGAAAATAATTCGAAAGATATAATAAGGAAACATTAATTTTGACAATTTCAATGATAATAATCAAGAACATTATGACAGAGCTTTGTAATTTCACTTATGAATATAAAAGCTTTTCGCGTGACACAACATAATATTGTGTCCACACATCACGGCTATTATCACTATAGGAAGTTTTAGTGACCCCCCCACCCTGCTGTCAAGGTTTAAAATAAACGACTTCGGCAGAGTGCTCAGGGGTATATTGGTTCTATGTGTTTGACTACCTGATTAGCTTTAAATAATATATCGGAGGTCACAGATTCAAATCTTGGAGGATTTTTTTTCAAAAGAGGAGGAGAATCATATAATTTGTTTTTTGTAAAATGTTTTGAAGAACATGTTTTGCAATATAATTTAATTCCATGTATTCATTCTCACAAACTTTAACATTTATAATATTAGTATGGACAGTAATATAAAGTCATACTATTGTATGACTTTATATTATTCAAAATAAAAAGAAAAACTAACATAATAAGCAACTAATTAGTTGCCCAATTTCAGATAGGTAATTATTTGATGGGCGTACGGACCGTTCTTGTCAATGCCATTCCAAGATCAATAAGGCTTTTTATTCAGTCGCTTTCCTCCGAAAGCTACAAAGAAAGTCAAATGAATTAAGTTTACATAAACTTATAATATTATAATGGTTTCCTTTCAATCACTTAAATATTAATCTTTTGTCATATTATGTCGGAACGAATTGATATAAATGAAAATAAAAGAATAAGAAAAGAGTTTTGTGTGGGTGACCTATTAAAGCACTTGGTATATCAGAAAAATCTATTTAAAACACACCATTTTTTATTAAAAACTAGCGGCTCGCCCTCACTTCGCTCGAGTTCGTCGCTAGATACTTTTTAAATAGATATAAATGGTTAGTAGCCGGCGTTAGCCATATAAATTAAAAAATTTTTTTTTTTCATTTTTTCTCTTTATTAAACCTTCCGTGGATCTTAAGGAACATGCGAAAAAAAAATTGCCGAATTGGTCCAGCCATTCTTGAGTTATGCGCTTAACAACATTCATTTTTATTCATATAGAAAACTATGTTGGATTGCCGTATCGCTTGAGTTTGTATCTCGAAATCAAAATGTGCAAAGTTAAGTTTTTATAAGCTTGCATTTGCAAAAAGCTTCATTGTATTTCTTTAAACAAACAAAAATAACCAAACATGATACTTTGGTATCTGCTTTTCTCCATTGTCACTATTATTTTAAAATTTTTAAGTTACTTCAGAAAAGGAGAACGATAACTTCAACTAATTGATATATGAAAACATAGATACTCATTTCCTAACAAATATATATGCAAAAAGTGCCGATATGTGACGACCTTGAAAAATATAATTAAAAAATCGAAAGTTCTAATCGTCTCAACACAAATTCGAACTTACGCACACCACATATAGTTTTTTTTTAAACTAAACGATGTGCGTTTTAATTTTGTCATCTGAAAAGCAATTTACAAAAGAGATTTGAAAAAAGCGCAATTTCAAAATATACACTTCTTTTCAACCGACTTCAAAAAGGAGGAGGTTCTCAATTCGACTGTATTTTTTTTGTTACCTCAGAACTTCGTCATTTATTAACCGATTTTGACAATTTTTGTTTTGTTTGAAAGGGTATACTTCCAGATTGGTCCCATTTAAATTTCAAAAAAAATACCACCCCTAAGGGTGGAAAAATAGCTAATGATGGATTTAACCTACTTCTAATTGTCATATTGACTTGAAACTTTGCAAGTGTTTCTATTTCCGTTGATAGTACAGTGGTTCGGTATTGTTGACCTGATCTGATGGTAAGCCCAGAAGGTGGATAGGTGGAACTCTTTAACGGCTAATAGTAGATACTTTGACTTGAGCTTATTTTGTTTGATTTGACAAGCCTAATACGTTAGAATTCTTACTTTGCTACTACTGTACTTTGCTACTAACGTAAGTGTAACTCATTGATATTTTGGTGTGGAACAAAAATAAACTCTTACTCTTAGTACGCCTCATATTATAAACAGATAATATGAGGCTTGCCAGGAATTGCTTGTTAGAGATTAGTTTAAATTGAACAAAGATTTGTTTTAAATAAAATTATTTTTTCGGCTTTAATTACTTAGCTAAAGCACACCGACTTCGAAAATATTAGATTAGGTATGTATAGTAAATGAAAACTACCAATCAGTTATTTTTTACTTTTTAGTGCTTTTGTTTTTGAGGACACGTTTGAGACGCTAATTGTGTATCTTGAGTTTTTGTATGTACAGTGTAATTTTTAATTTACTGAAGTCCTTTTGGGAATATACTATTTACATCATAACAACATCTGTAACAAGAAAAAAAATATTTCCTCAATTTTTATTTTCATGCAAAAATAAAAATATTTATATTGCACCTTCTAAACGGTAATAGTCCTAGCATCTAGTCAAGTTTAAATGAAATATGAATAAGCGCGGCTTCCTATACCCCTCCACCCCTCCCACTCCACCGGGGATGCGCTTTCTTTTGCTAATGCTAGACTATTACCATTTAGAAGGTGCAATAAAAATATTTTTATTTTTGTTAAATTTAAGATTTTTTTTCTTATAGATGTTGTTGTTATGATGTAAATAGTAAATTCCCAAAATGTCTTCAGTAAATTAAAAAATGGCCCTGTATATCGATATTTAAAAGAGCAACTGTTGAGTTTCTCGCCGGCTCTTCTCAGCAGAACTGCTTTCCGAGCCGGTGGTAGCTTTATCACGAACTGACTACACTGACGTTTAAATTAAATTGATGATTCAAAAGCACTTGTAATAAGTCTAATTGAATAAAGTTTATTTCATTTCATTTGTATTTAAATGCTTCAACTGTATATTTGACTTTTTAATGGTGTACATGAGAGTAGCTATTTAATAATCAAGAAAATGTTTTATCCCTAAATGGAGAGCAATTAATAATTGTTAAGACTATATCCATTTTATCGAAGCCGGTTTAATTTGGTCCATTTAACATTACGATTCAGGTGGAGAGCGGCGCAAGTCCATACTCGCCAGAGCACGGGCTCGTGGTTCGATCTTTCGTATATCTTTTCCAACTTATACGGGACCGACCGGACTCTCATTTCATCCTCAAAGCTTCTTTCTTAGAAATTTATAATGAAAAAGTAAGTTGTTAATTTTTATTGCTTCTTGTATTCAAATTTATACATATAATAAAATTGTAACTAAGTCGAATCTGTACATTGAATATTTTTGGAAAATCTTACTGAAATAGACATTATTATGGATACAGAGGTCGAATCTATAGTTTTTAGATTCTTTGTCTGTCTGTCTGTTACCGCATCACTGAAAAACGACTGGAGGGATTTTGATGAAATTTGATATGATAATTATAGCTGGTTATCCGGGTCACCATACCTATAGGATACTTTTTACTGCGGGAAAATATGTCATCTCTGAGAAATCTATATTAAACGTTAAAACGTAGGTAGGGACTTGTTATACTTAGTACATATGTCATTTAAAGTGGAAAGCTAAGTTTGAACAAGTCAGATTTGGTACAGTGTGAGACAAAAAATAGAATATTTCTTATTATAATTTATATGATGAATTAAAAGTAATTCATGACGGTAATTTTTTTTTATTTTTTAGTAATAATACATGTATGTACATAAAAATATTGTTTACTTTTATGAAATCATGTATAGTATAAGTTAAGTGGTATCCATCTAGTGTTATTCGATGAAAAAGTTAAAGGTTTCCTTTTCAGGTAATAGATTTACTGAATCCTGGTAGCTCCAGGAAACCTCTCCAAGTGCGATGGTCGAAGGAAAGTCGAAGCTTTTATGTTGAAAATCAATTCACAGTTGATTGTGAAGAGCTGGACGATTTATTTGCCGTTTTGGAAGAAGGTAATGTTAAAACACGTTTAATAATAATTAAAATACCGGATTAATTGATACATTTGTAGTATTTAGAATGATACACATTAAATATTGCTTAAAAAGTTATTTGTGAACATTTAGAGTGGATCTGAAAGGAAAACAGCAACACTCATGAATTGTTATGGAACCTTTATTTTATTGTACATAGGTGCATTTATTATTAAAAAGTTTAAGTTTTTTTTACATTTTTGCTTAGCTGTATCTAGCTGAGCATGTAATGTACCAAGTTTTAAGTTATGTTTAGTGATGGTTTATATTTATAAATTTAATAATGGTTATAATCCATACTTTAATATTATAAATGTGAAAGTGTGTTTGTTAGTTTGTTTGTTTGTCTTTCTTTCACGTCGAAACGGAGTGACGGATTGACTTGATTTTGTGTGTGGAGAAAGTTGGAGGGCTGGAGAGTGACATTGGCTACTTTTTACCGCGAAAGATTATCTCATTCCCGCGGGAAAACACGTTATAATACAACCCAAAAAAATATTTATGATCAGAATTACTTAAAACTTGGTATTAATGCTCTTCAGTAAAATTATGTAAATATGTGTATTAGAATTTTTCGAAATTCATCCCATAAGAGGGTAAAATAGGGGATGAACAAAAACAAATCTATCCCACGGGAACCGTACATTTTTCCGGGATAAAAAGTAGCCTATTTGTTATTCTGATGTATAAACTAATACATTTTCATTAAAATCCAATCAGTAGTTTTTGTGTACTAAGCTGTATAAGTTACTATAGATTTTTAACCATTCCACGGGAACTCTTTAATTTTCAGGGATGAAAAGTATCTGAAATTTTGACCGGGCATATAAGGTACCACCATGCAAAATTTCATTTAAATCGGTCCAACAGTTTCGGAGATTAGTCCGTACAAACAGACAAACAGACAGAGAAACAAAAAAAATGTTTTATTTCTCTTCTTACATCCCCCTGACTCGGTTTCTAGCATATTTTTTCTATGTTATGTACATTCAACCTCTACAGTTTTATTATATATATAGATAATATCTTTATGCATCCAAATACTTTTTTGTAGTCTGAACGCGGGCAAAAACGGTTGTTCTGTTAGTAATTAATATGTAAAAAATTTAATTCAGTTCATTTGGCAGATTCATTTTCAATGTACACTAAGGTCGTAGCAAACACGAGTTCTGTAGATTTTTTCGGTAATTAAGGATTGAAAAAGTTTGTTCGGATAAATAAGTACTACCAATAATTCTAATTAACTAATGAGCAAACCTTTTCAATTCTCCGAAACCAGATGGCATTAGCGTGTTCACTGTAATGCACGATTGCTTAAATTTCCCGCCTACTTAATAATTACTGTATAATTATAATATTTATTTATTTTGGTTGGTACCGATAAAAGTTTTATTTATAAAATATTCACGGGCCGCATGGACGCAGCTCGCGTGCGGCCCGCGGGCCTTGTGTTGCCGACCACTGATGTATAGGATCTAACGTGCGAGAGAATGAGATAGAAAACCTTATACATTATATAAATGTAAAATAGTTTTTTATAAATCCTACAATTATCCTATTCCTGAATTATAAGTATCATCTCATTATCTTAAAGATTACTTCTTTGAAAGTTTCACCTGTACCGCGTGTGAACTGAGCATGTGTTCTTTTTTTTCCTTTCTTACGGTGTGCTATTCACTTTTAGTATTACTATTATTATTATTAACTAGCAACTCACTCTCGCTTCGTTCGGGTTCATCCCTAGGTACATTTTCATTTTTTTGAGCGGAACCCTAATTCTTTTACTGAAATAAAAGTAGCTTAAGTTACTCCTTATGACATTAACTACCTGCCAGTGAAAGTCCCGTCAAAATGGCCCATCCGTTTCGCAGATTAGTCGAAACAAACAGACAGACAGACAAAAATAAAAAAAATGTGTTTTTCTTATAAATACCGTATATGGGTATTTCTCCGAGATTGCGTCCTTCATCTGATTAATCAAATAATATTTGGCATGTCTTTAATCATAAGAGTATGTTGAATAGAGCCAAAAATGAAAATATTTTTTAGCCAGATTAATCACATGAAGGACGCAATCTCGGAGAAATACCCATATAATCCCATATGCATTTAGTAAAAAGCTGTTACTTTGGCATTACAAACAAACACTTTAATTTTATTTATCTGTATAGATGTATAGATCAAACAAACTCAACCCAATCCCCAGGTATGCGCAACAGAGCAGTAGGGTCGCACACGATGAACGCGAACTCGTCGCGCTCGCACTCGTTGCTGTGCGTGCGCGTGCGCCGCGACGCCGGCGGCCGCTGCACGCACGGCAAGATCAACTTCGTGGACCTCGCCGGCAGCGAGATGACCAAGCGCACCAACAGCACCGGCAAGACTTTGGAGGAAGCTAATAATATTAATAGAAGTCTTATGGTCTTAGGTAAATGTCTACTGAAAAAAGAAACTTTTATACTGAACGGTTTCGAAGTTAATACACTGTATCAAATGTCATCGATCAAAAAAAGTACTAGATACACATTCCCATAAAAAAGTTCTCTTAAAACTATCACCAATTGTGCTTAGGTAGGTAATTTTATTCTAGTTGAAATAAATATACAACTATGTAAATTGAAACTTAAATGCAATGCTTAAAGTCGTTTTCGTAAAAAATATATATATAAAAGCGCGCTCTAATTATCAAATAAGCGCTCATTCGGTGAGAAGTCGCTGTTCCTAGTTTAAACGCTTTCGTTAGATGATGACGTACAGTGTGATCGCGCCTTCAGTTGATACACGTGCAACTCAAAAATAAAATTTATTTATTAATCCCTCCACGACCGTGGACACGCTGGCGTATCAGTTAACAATAGATTTCTTAGAATTTTAATTAATTTCTTAGAAATTTACTAGGAGGTGCTAAAATAAACTTTTACAAGCCCTATTGAGTCTTAAAATAAAGCAATTTTTACATTTGAAATGTCAGTATGTATGATCATTCGTGATCGTGGGGAAATTATCACAGTTTTTCAACAGTGACTTCTCCTGTCTTGACTCTAATTTTTTTTTACACGCCTTAGCTTTATTTGTAACTTATAACTAGGTATGTTCAGGAGTCGATTTAGCGTTCATTTAATCGATTTGAAACTTATTACAAAACGTTAGTATGTGAAATGTGAATAATTTAATAACATCGAGCTGATCCGATGATGGAATTCCGTTGGATAATGGAACTTTTTAATAACTAATAACTTTAAAAATAAAATAACCGTTTAAAATACTCTTTAATGGCCAATGGCTATCAATAATAGTTACTTATCGAGTTCGGACTCTTTTGATTCATTTTGATGGTTCTATATGTTACAGTTGATCCAAAGCGTATTTTTTAGTTTTTCAAAACACATAAAATTGTAGCAGTGATTATACATATTATGATATCGCACTTACATTCTTAGAAATATCTTAAATTTTCTTGTGGTCTTGTGTAGTGTCATTATTATTTACTATCTAGATTCCCCATACAAATTTTCATTACCATTTTCACCTCCTTAAGGGATGATTTCCGGAATAAAAGTTTCCTATGTTCTTCCCAGGGTTTCAAACTATGTTCTTACCAAATTTCATCTAAATCAATTCAGTAGATCCAGAGATTACCCCCTACAACCTCACAAACGCATAAACTCACAAACTTTACCTCTTTATAATATTAAGTATAGATTATTTCATTTGTTTTAGTCCTGTAATGTCATTATTATACGATTATGAACTGTGAAAATTTAAAAAGTTATATTTATAGGATACTGCATAGCCCAGCTTAGTGATGGCAAGAAGAAAGGCCACATCCCGTACCGGGACAGCAAGCTGACCAAGCTGCTGGCCGACAGCTTGTCCGGGAATGGCGTCACTTTGATGGTGAGACCGGTGTGTTACATGTAACACATCGCATGTATGCGACTCAGTAGTCAGTCACCCAGATAAATGTCAGTGAAGTTGATAAGCGATTTGACTTCATTTAATTTCCCTTAACTTTTGTCTTATTATCGTATTCCTTAGTGTGCTTTCTTACATTAGATTGAATTTAAAAAATAAACAATTTTAGTAAATATTGTCGGGTAGGAAAAATATCTTTTAAATGACAATACCTACATGATTTAAACAAAAAAAATCTGATTAAGCAAATCATCCTAATTGACCAACTTTAAAAAAGGAGGATTCAAGGTAGGTACTTACATTCGGTTTTTTCCATACATGTTACGCAATACCTTCTATAATTATTTACCGATTTTCATGTTTTTTATTTTAATGAAAAAATCATTTTTGGAGGTGGAACATTTAAGTTTCAAAGTTTATAATTATCTTTTAAATTAACAAACCCATAACTGAAAATTGCATTAAAATCGGACTAGTAGTTTTGAAGAAAAATGGCAACATGTATTTGCACAAACAAACAAACAAACAAACAAACAAACAAACAAACAAACATCCTCTCACTCCAAACGCGTATAACGTCTCCGTTCCGTCGTGAGTAAAAAATAATCTTTTATGTTATTTACTTGATAATGTTTGTTAGATCGCATGTATAGCCCCTACGAAGTCGAACTTGAACGAGACGATCAACACATTGCGGTATGCTGCAAGAGCTAAGAAGATTAAATCCAAACCTATTGTTAAGATGGTGAGTTTTATATATTTAGTTTATTTTCTCACACCTTTACCTCGTTGCTCTTTCCAATACAAATTTTGCAGACCCTAATAACATAATACTAACATAATTTAATTTTGAGCCCCCTTGCAAGTTAATAATAATAATAATAAAAAAAACTCTTTATTGCACACACAACATAGGAAGAAATATAAAAAAAGAAGAATACAGTAGTAGCAAAATGCACAAGAGGCGGCCTTATCGCTAAAACAGCGATTTAAATTAAAAGTCTCTTTTGTCCGTGTCTAAACTTTGGGCTTTTTTTGTGGAAACTCTAACAGTTTAAAAGTTACCTACATACCTATGTATCAGCAAAAATCGTAATTTTGAATAAAAAAATAGCGCAAGACTACGTATTAAAAATGTTTTTTTTTTCTATTTTATATTTTATAAATAAAATATTATATAATTAATAAGTAATTTTATTCAAATATTTGATTTAATAAAAATATGTTTTGTGGATTGGTCTCAGGACGCCAGAGACGCTCTGATACTGAGCCTGAAGAGGGAAGTGGAAGCGCTGCATTCGGAGAACCAGCACCTGCGCGCCGCGCTGCACGTGCACAGCGACTACTCCGACTCCTACAGTAAGGGTTCATATCACTCTCCATTATCATCATTCAACCCTTTTTAACGTCCCATAGCTGGGCACGGGCCTGCCTTCAGTAAGAGGGTGATCACTGCAGCGCTGAATTTACACGAGGGGCACTCGGGGCTAGTGCCCAGGGCGGCAAATTTTTAAAAGGCGACAAAATTCGGATGGTGCGAACAAAAATTTTCTTCGTGTTATCGAAAATGCTTTTTTTATAATTAAAATAAATTAACTAGTACATTTTTCGAAAAATTCAGATCGTTTATAAATTATTCTGTGACATTAAAAATAATTAGTAATTAAAAAAAATGGAACTTTATCGAAATTTTAGATATTTTATGCAAAATTTCGATAATAGGGCGGCATTTTTTACTATACCCAGGGGCGGCGCTAAGGTTAAATCCGGCACTAGGGATCAGGCGATACTCCATCACGCTGGCCGAGTGCGGGCGGACTGAGCATGTCTTTAGAAAACTTGCTAAATTCTCTCAAGCGAATAGATTTTGTTAAATTTATTCTAATCACGAAATAACTGCATCCATAATATAGCCTGTATTAATACTGGTATACACATAAGGAGGCATCCATTAATTACGTGATCTGAAAATGGGGAAAGGGGGATTTAGTGAAATCTCGCCAAATCTCACTTAATCTCACCATAGGATAGGGGGGTTGTCTATAAAGCTCACGCAATTAATAGATGCTCCCTAAGTTATGTTCATTCTAAATTTCACTTAAATCCTTTGAGCCGTCAGTATGAAGTAGATACCTAACAAAAGCACGCACTCATTCACAAACTCACACACACATACAATAATACTGTGATGATGTTTACCACAAATATCATTTCCATCTCCAGGTCATAGAAACCGCGGAACTCCGATAGAGAGTAACAAGCTTTACCAATTACCTCAAAGCGAGTTAGTGGAGTTGGTACAGCTGCATATGACGGAGAATACCGCGTTGAGGCAAGAGAATACAGAGTTGTTCGTGACGAGGGACCAGCTGCTGCGCGACCAGGAACTGCTCAGTCGCGAGAATGAACGGCTTCTGAAGAAACTTGAGGATGTCAACTCGTAAGTATATATTTCTTTTTTTCTATACATATAATAAAATTGTAACTACGTCGAATCTGTACATTAAATATTTTTTTGGAAAATCTTATTGAAATATAATTATTATCGATACAAAAGCCGAATCTATAGTTTTTAGAATTTTTGTCTGTCTGTCTGTTACCGCATCACAGAAAAACCACTGGAGGGATTTTAATTAAATTTGGTATGATGATATTTTTTGTTAAAAAATATCATCGTAAGTGGTGTGGCATGGCAATATTTTTTCTTAGAAAAAATGCTACTATACCATAAAATATTGTCATACTGTACTGTACCATATAAATTTGAAAAAAAAATGGCAAATTGTGTAATATAAACATAAAACTTAAATTTAAATACTTTTGAACACGGACATGGTTACGTTAATTTGTATTTTAAGATCAATTCTTAATTATAATTTTTATTTATTCAATTCTTATAATACTAAAATAAAAGTTTCTAATTTTGATATTAACATGATCTGTCAAGTTATCTACTTTTTTCGCATCGTATTTTTTTTAATATTAAATTAATAGCCTACATTCCAACTTTTTCTTTTAATAATTATTGGCTTAAGTTTAGTTTTTACTGGCAGTATAAAAAAATATAATATTAATTCTAAAGGCAACTCCTGCTGATATTTCTTAGATAAGCTAACCGAATTCTTGCCGAAATTCGAACCTATAATCTTTTTTTTACTGGTTTATTTGGCCGATACAATATTTCCTCTGAATGTATGTAAAAATAAAACATAATACTACATTTTGTTATAAATAATAAATGTAGTTATTTGAAATTGATTTTTTTTTTAAATGTCTTGGTTAAAATCTTTGTAATCTTGCTTTCTAAATTTGGACAAAGCTGATGTAACAGGTCAGTGATTTTTACGTCACCAGCAGAAATTACGCATGGGCTGCATGATTAGTTTGAACAAAATATAAATAAATAAATTTATTATTAAAATATTACCCACAAACTAGGTACTCTTAAAATTTTAAAATATTAACGACAAATAGTAAAATTGAAATAATTTCAAATACTTTGCATGACAAGGGCACTTTCTTATAAACAAAAATAATACATAAAAATATAATGTAAATAAGAATAAATATATTTAATGTACTAATTACTCATATCACATATATCTTCGTGTCTACCTTAATACAAGGGAAATAGGCCACAGTCCATCACGCTGGCCAAATAAAATTCACTGTGCACATGAAAATCTCAGAAGTACGAGATCCAAGTTTTGAATGGGATTCCATTACTGTTAATATTAATAAATATGTTGGGACATTAACACACAACACCATCTAATTCCATGATAAACTACGAGGCTTGTGTTATGGATACCAGATAGTTGATACACTACACACTACTGAAATACATACATATTATAAATATAAACACCCATAACCGAAGTAGAAACATTCATTCTCATCACATAAATAAATGCCCCCAGTGGGCCTCAACTTGTGACCACTGGCACAGCAAGTAGGGTCACTACAAACTGAACCAAATGTGTCGTCTTATTAAATTACATCACATTTATCTTATAAATGCTAAAATATGTATATTTGTTATAACTTCCATACTAGCGGTTCAATAGATTTGAATGAAATGAAGGTAGCCTAATATCCTGCACTGCCCTTCACAAGCAAAGACTAGTATTTAAATACATAAATTTTTATAATAATCAATTCATAACAAAATGTTACAGTGTGTGTACGAGATCACCAATAATACCGGCCAGACCTACATACTCAGATAACAGCTCAAGTAATGCCAACATCTGGACCAACCATACTAGCACCATTGCAGACAGCATTATAAGTGAAAGCAGTTAATAAATTCTGTTACTCAATTCAACATGACATTTTAATGTATATTTAATAATATATGTAAGCTTCTACCATTAAAGTATTGATTTTTAAAATCAAATTGTTTATTATGGATACATTTAGAAATTCTCCATTTTAAACAATCAGTGCATACTTTTAAATGAATGCCTTGAAGATGGAAACTTCAAAAATTAATAAAATTTTAAATAAAAAAAAGTACAGTATTATTATTATTATAGTTGTATCATATATAATATTAATTATTCTAAAATAAATTAGTATAGAATGTATGGACAATAAAAAGTAGATGGTTGAGTATTAATATTATAAGAAATGTAAGTAGTGTTGGAGCAAACCTGTGTAGATACATAGCATCAATATTTTTGTGATTTGTATGAAATAAAAGTTTTAAGTTGGAATTTTGTTTTATTACCACCATTTTATATTCTTTGAAAATGTTTTCGAGTTTTTCTCAATAGTGACAAATTTGAAATGTACAAGATTTCTTACATTATACATTCTTATATTAAGTCCGTAAACTTTCCATTTAACTGTTCTGTATAACTCGCGTCATCTAAAAAGAACGCTGGCTGTCAAGCTGCGTGATTTATCAGTCAAATTGGTGGTAAGAAGTGGGGCGCGGGGCGGCGCGGGCCAGCGGGGCACGCGTCGCATGCTTGCCGGCGCGCTATTGGTCCGTAAGTTCGAAATATAATCGCGCACACAAAAGTTTTTAATTACGAAATGTTTTATATATAGAAAAGAGAAAAATTATTATTGATGTATATTGTTTTACAAAGAGAGAGTCTGATAATAATGCAGTTAATAATTTAAAAAAATGTATTAAACATATTAATTTAATTTTTTGTAATTAGATTAAACATTCTACACTGAATCAAACATATTTTAATAATGAATACAATTCTATTTAATGATATTCTATCTAATATATTTTTCAATGTCCCTACCAATAACTAATATATGAAGCCGCAAGCGAAATGCTATGAAAAATAAAATAATAGGCTTAGTACTTTTGTGCGCGAGTATACCCATGCGCAAACATACCCTCTCCACTTTCTTCCAGCATTCTTTTTAGATGAAGCGAGTTATAAAATTAATTGAACTTCCAATTAATGAACAGATTCACATTTATAAAGTACTTGCAAGAAAATTACACTATCACATTTTTTCAGTTCATTAAATAAAAGTCCATTGCCTTAAGCCATTAATTAGCTTTAAGACAATGAAATTACTGCTAGTGTCTTCTAAACCCATACTTCTTTCTTTCATAGAATAGATCAGTCTTAGAACTTCCCAAGTTAACAATCTTTGGACAGCCATCTCTCTATAAAAAAACATTTAATTAACATATTAATATATATTTTTTAAATATCAATCATTTAAATGAGGTCTTTAGTGCATTTGAGCGTTAGCTTCAGATCAGCCTATAAAGAGAAATAATGTTTTAAATTATAAATTCAAATGTGTATTAAGGTCTATTTATTATAGCAAAAAAATATACTATAAATTAATAATATTTAAAACCAAATTATGGCATGTATTATTATAAGAAAATAAGATGATACCAATGGAAACATTACCTCAAATATTATTCAAAAGCTACTTGATATAAAAATATATTAACTTACATCTTTCTCCTGTATAGTACACTCTTTGCAATAATATGCATCTGAAACGCCGGGACCTCCGCAAATCACACATCTTCCTTGATATGAGCCATAGTTACATTCATCACAAATTCGCACCAATGTACACGGACGTACATATGAATCGCATATCACACACTTGCCATCACATTTTTCACATAAACGACCGATAGCTGTAAACATAAAAGATTACGATACCTTACAATGAATTGAATAAGTAGTTTCGTTGAAAACATTTCCCTTGCAAAAGTGAGTTTTTGTAAGAACTTACCAACGCCAGGTTGCTTTCTACAGAATATTAAGTCTGGATGATGCTTAGCCATGTTTTATTTGTATTATTCTTATGTTTTTATAGCGCAATTGCTTTTAAAACAAAAAATCGTTCTTAACCTCAAATAGCGCGTCTAATGTTTGACAAATGACAATTATACCACAGGTTATGGAGAGTGGAGACTAATAATTGCTTATTGTACATTGACTTTTACTGTTCTCCAATTAGAGCACTAAAGCGCATTATACGGCATAGTGCTAACTTAAAATGTTTCAACTACAGCAACACTCCGTTCGATCAAGCATTTTAAAAAGTAGTGCTTTATCGTGATGCGCGCAAGGATACCAACTCAATATGAGAACTGTTTTTTCTTCAAGGTGGCTTTGATCAAAATTTTATATACATTATCGTTAGTAATATTTGTTTATATTTTATTTATAAAATTATACATTAATTAGTTATATATTTATTATATAAATTGTAATATCGACGATATGTATTATTATACACTACAGTGTCAAAAGTAAATAGACAGGGCATTTTTAATGAAATCCTTTTTTTCATCATAAACTAAACATTTAATTAAAAAACTAATGCATGATTATTAGTATCGTGTTGATCCTCCTTTATTATAAAACAACTATTTTATTCTAGCTTTTATAGTATTAATCAATTATTGATCGGCTCTTGTTTGTAAATTAATCCATTCTTTAACTAAAATCATGTCTATTCCTTTTTATTCGAGGGTTTCACTGGCCTTTTCGCAACATTTATTTTGTAAAAGGTGCCAAGCTTTCTTAATTGGACTCATATCATGTGATTGATTTGACCATGGTGGAATTGTAAGACCTTTTTGAGAGTTCCAGACAGTCATTTTTTGAGCTCTATAACATGGTGCACCATCTTCCATGAGAATGTATTCTTTGCAATTCAAATTAATACGTTGAAAGATAGGTAGAAGGATCTTATTTTGAAATATTAGTATATTTTTCCGTATTAATTTTATCATCATAGAAAACCAGGCCACTTCTTCCACCATACCAACTAGCCTCCCAAACCATAACACTTATTCCTGTCTTTTTTACAGTATGTTGCAAAAATCGGTTTTCCAATTACATTACTGCACGACGTCACATCCATTTTACTCCATTGTTGCTAAACTGAAAATATCCGGATTCGTCTGAAAAAATAACATGCCTCGAAAAGTTCATCATCCTTAGATATCATATCCTGTGACTAATCATATCTTCGCATTTTTAGAAATTTTGTCAACTTAAGTTTCTTTTTGGCTACTCTTTTATAAAAATCAATAATGTGTAAATACTTCTGAATAGTTTGACCCAACCTATTTAAAGATATAGCCACATAATCCACAGATTTTTCGGGATTTTGCAAGATTTTTTGAAGTACCGCACTCTTTTGCCTGGCAGACGGCTCAGATCTCCCTGATCTTGGCGAAATGCTTGTCTTTCTATCTCTTTTGAGTTGCATAATTTTCCAATTAACAATTGACAAAGGCACATTTAATCTAGCCCTGATTTAGAGCCCAGACTTACAACCTCCAAATTGGCCGACAATACACTCTCGAGTAAAATCGGTTAATTCTGACGTCCCAGATATACACGGTATTTTGAGTATAGTGTTAATAAATTAGATTCAGACCCCATATACTTCAATAATATTTTCAGAACCACCCGATTGCGTATTCTTAAAAAAATGGTATATTTATAGGTGTCTATTTACTTTTGACACGGTAGTGTATATTATATCCCATCAAAAACATTCTGTAAAAATATTGCAAGTCTCGCAACGCATTTCTTCTACTTCAAAAAGCTATGAGATGTAATGTAAAACCAAGTCGGTTAATTTATTCATTACCTATCTATGAAAGCAACTATCCGACAACTTTGTCATAAATCGTTACCGAATTAGTTAAGTTACAACATTTTATAGTGACCGTATTAATATTAGATATATTTATTTCTTTAATTAATAGAATGACTTGGCCATCGCACGGAAACATAATCACATAAGAGTCTACAACTTTAAATAGCCCTAATTAAACATATCATGACCAAGGTGGACGGACGACTTGGTCAAAGTCGCTGGAGCCCACTAGATGCGGATGCACAAGACTGGTTGTCGTGGAACTTTTTTGGGAGAGGCCTATGTCCCAGCTGTGTGTGTGTTTGGGCTGAGATGAACTGAACATAGCACTAGCGGGTCAAATTTATGCATACACTAACATAAATAATGCACTCAGAACGCTAATTTTAGGTAAATTTTGTTATTTGTAGATTCTATTATCATGTGCGATGGCCAAGTCATTCTATTAAATTAAAGAAATAAATATATCTAATATTAATACGGTCACTATAAAATGTTGTAACTTAACTAATTCGGTAACGATTTATGACAAAGTTGTCGGATAGTTGCTTTCATAGATAGGTAATGAATAAATTAACCGACTTGGTTTTACATTACATCTCATAGCTTTTTGAAGTAGAAGAAATGCGTTGCGAGACTTGCAATATTTTTACAGAATGTTTTTGATGGGATCTCATTTCTTTTTGTAAATATTTCTTCTTTTTCTCTTTTCTTGTACTATTTCTTGTGTGTCAGCTAAGGACTTTTTAAAAAGCCCACTCCTTGTCTCTGTGGGCTTTTTTCAGAGGCTTTGATATAGGTAACAAATTTTGACAAGTCTGGATGATAAAAAATCTAAGTCTATTGTATTGGGAAATTACGGACTCCTGGACTTTAAATACTACTATCTTATGCATTAAGAATAAATATGTATAGTTAATTTAACGAATATTTAAATTTCATTTGTTGACCCTAAATACCTACCCCGATACTGATATTCGACTTACATAAGTTTAATAAGATGTATAGATTGTATGTGTCTATCTGCAGCATCGTAGTTAAATCCCGAAAGTTGTATTCCATTCCATTTTAAAAGTAATTTTCGAAGAGATTGATATTTCATGACCTCTATATTCCATGTTCTAATAGGTGGGTACAATTACGAGCAATGAGATGTTGAGAAGGTTTCTAATTCATATCAACATCATACTTTGTAAAAGAAAAATGTACGAGCTTTGTTTCAAAATTAAGTAATCGTCAAGTTGTTTCTTAATTAGGTATATATTTTAATCAATTCATTATAAATAACAGTAATCGAATATTAGTAGGTATAAACTATACACGCTTCACGTTACATTTATGTACCCATTTGTATATGCATAAAAATGTCTACAGCTACTAAAAAAGCTTAAAATATTATTTCGCGTTTAAAAATACTTTTCTAATACATATAATTGCAAATATAAACATTAATAAATAGACCAATCGAAATTAGGTTAGTAATTACGAGGGAACATAGGATCGGACGTACAAACATACATACCTACAGGTAAAACACTAACCTAACCCCTTTTACAGTGCAACTATTGTATAATTAATTTACCATTAATTATAAATTTTATAAGAATATATGAATGAGGTGAAAAAAATAAAAGTAAGATATCGGGAAATGATATTTTTAATTTAAATAATGTAAGGAAAAAATAGTGTAAATTTAATTAAAATATTTTATGATTTTTAAACGAAATTTATATTTGACATAACGGCACAAATTAAGGCAAGCTATGATGAAGTTTATTATATTATGTGCTATTTTATTGTGACCTATTATTTAAAAAAATACCTAAACCTTCTAGCGTTCCTTGACGTCGTTTAAAGTGGAGAAATTGACTAACAAATTAAATACTTAGTGATAACAAACGGAACTCTGAGAAAGATATATTTTAAGTTGGATATTTAAGTTAATAAATAATATATGAGTTATTCCTGTGTTTTTTTAACATGACTAAACTAAATATTGATAAATACATATTGTATGTATTAGTCAAGTAGAAGACAAACTAACGCTCCGAGGGCTCTGTACTTTTTTTTTTATAGTTGGGAAATCCTATTACGGATACCACCCGAATTCCCCCCGGGCGACTCTCGCTACGGAACACACGAGTGTTCGATTACTTGTATTTTTTTTTTATATTTAAGATCTTTTATACATATAAGTTTTAAATTTATATATTAAATATATTATTTCTTAAAACTCTTTACAATATTGATAATTACATTTTAGTCGTCGCTAACTTACAGTATATCCATATTTACCCTGTTATACATTTGGGTAGTTTAAGTGACGAAAAATGATATGTATGAACTGCAAAAATAACTTTGTAATCCCATATATCGCATATCTATTTGTATAGGAATACAAAGTTACTTATGCAGTTTGTATATCTCGAAAACAGGATTGAAATTGCATGATGTTTAAGTTTTTCCTTCCGTTATAGGCTAAACACTAATTGTGTTCAAAATTTGAAGCTCCTATGTCTGCTAGAAGTACCTTAGAATTTTGATGATCGGTGAGTGAGTGAGTGAGTGTGTGCGTGACGATATTAACGAATTTTGATCTGCAACAGTTCTTAAACTACAGGTTCAAATTGAATGTAATTTGGAAATATGCCTAGTTTTATTATGTTCTTTTAGTCACTGAAAATTCAGGCTTCTAGCTTTATCCATAACGAAGTTATGGGGGGGTGGAAAATGCTCTGAATCGCTTCGAGAAAAGGATGGTACTGTCGTGCCCTTTTTTGCTCGACTTGGCGGGGGCACTCCGTGCCCCCCGATACATATTAGTTAGTTATATTTTTTCCTTTCAACACTGAACCTAGTGCCCTCTACTGGTGCACTTGAAAACTAATACTTGTTTAATCTGTGTTCAAACTTCGGCATTGTGCGCCAAGTACGGTATTATGCTCTGTAATTAGAAAACAGCGTTAAAGTTTTATGTAATATGTCGTTATTCGTCGTATCGAAACTATAGGCAATATTATCGTAGTCTTATTTGTATTTTTATCGTAATTTAATATTTTTTAGTTATTCAAGATTATTATTTTTTTAATTTAAAAAAAAAAAGTGGAACATCTCTTGTATCTAGGGCTAAACATGGCTTAGTAAAAAAACCTAAGTGTTCTGACTTCTGACTGATGACAGCCAGTTGTCACTTGAATTAATGTAACTTGTAAGCATGGTCGTGTTAGTTTCTTCAAGTTTTAAAAAAATCGTCGAGTAAATAATAAACAATGACGGCAGACAGTGATAATGAGAGTGGTAGTTCAGAGGAAGAACAAGTAGAAGATATCGCGACACAAGAGAAAGATAAAACTGAAGAAATTGAAGATACAGTAACATTTAAAGATTTAGTAAGTTTCAATCACTAAGGAACAAAATACCTGAATGAGAGTTTTATATGTCTTCCAATGTTTGGTAAAAATTTAAAATTAAGTTTTTGTAAAACTAAATTTTCTTTAATTAGAATTTTCTTTAATAAAACAAGACAGTTTTGAGGTTATATCTAACAGTGCAATTTGATTTTTTAATAACCTCATGGTGTTTTTAGGGAATCGTTGACGTACTCTGCGAAGCATGTGCTGATTTAAAATGGAAGAATCCATCAAAAATTCAAAAAGAAGCCATTCCAGTAGCTTTACAAGGCAAAGATATTATTGGTTTAGCAGAAACTGGGTCAGGAAAGACTGGAGCATTTGCTTTACCAATTTTACAGGCTTTATTGGAGAACCCACAGAGATACTTTGCACTTGTATTGACCCCAACTAGAGAACTGGCATTTCAGATATCCGAACAATTCGAAGCTCTAGGTAATTTTTGGTTTATAATGATATACTATATAATAACGTTTGAGATGTCCTTACCATTACTGGTTATGGGAGAGACTAAGAATATATTATATATATTCTTAGTCTCTCCCATAACCAGCATCATCGTAAAACATCCTAATAAAATAAACAGTGATTCCAGGTCATTGCTTACACTTTTGATACATTTTAATTTTCTCCATAATCACTAAATTCATCTTCTAAACTGCTATTTGTCTTATGAGTTATGTTAACAATAATATTCAATCTTTTTCCTTTAGGGGCTAGTATAGGGGTAAAATGTGCAGTAATAGTAGGGGGCATGGACATGGTTGCTCAATCTCTCGCCCTATCAAAGAAGCCTCACATTATTATTGCGACCCCTGGCCGATTGGTTGATCATCTTGAAAACACAAAGGGGTTCAATTTAAAAGCATTAAAATTTTTGGTATGTAATATGTGTGTTATAGTGTTTTGTTTCTTTTTATTGAGTCTACAGGTTCAAATTACATACCATTTGCCACTCACTGGTTAATCTTTTAAACATTCAAGAGGTATCACAATTAATTAAAAGTTGTTATTTTTATTAATGCATATTTATTACTATAAACCACTTTTTGACATAATTCTAATTGTGTGGTTGAAAATGTATAATTAAATAATTTTATCTTAATGACACAGGTTATGGATGAAGCTGATCGCATTTTAAACATGGACTTTGAAGTGGAAGTTGATAAAATTTTAAGAGTGATTCCTCGTGAACGCCGAACTTACCTGTTCTCAGCTACTATGACAAAAAAAGTTCAGAAACTACAAAGAGCATCCTTACAAGACCCTGTTAAAGTTGAAGTATCTACAAAGTACCAAACTGTCGAAAAACTGCAACAATATTATATTTTTATACCTGTCAAATATAAGGTTTGTTTGATGTTTTATTTTTATAATAAACTTGATATACTATAATTGAATCCATACAAAAGAACACCTGTACTCAAATTTTAAATCTCATAAAATGATGACTAGTAGCTTGAAATTTGAAAAAAAATTCAAACAACTCATTCATAATCCCAAAACTGTCACTGAAAATATCAAAACAGTAAGAAATATTTAAAAAAAAACAATAAAGAAATTTGGAACTGTAAAATAAAGCTTTATTTCTTTCAATGATATTTCAATAACCCCACATCTCCCCATCTCCCCCAGGACGTATATCTGGTGCACATCCTCAACGAGATGTCAGGCAACTCGTTCATAGTGTTTGTCGCGACGTGCGCGGGCGCCCTGCGCGTCGCGCTGCTGCTGCGCGCACTGGGCGTGCCCGCGGTGCCGCTGCATGGACAGATGGGCCAGCACAAGAGGCTCGCTGCCTTGAATAAGTTCAAGAGTAAGAACCGATCTGTGCTCATCTGTACTGATGTTGCTTCTAGGTATGTGATAATCTTATAAATACGAAATTAAACTCTGTTAACTTTTTTATGCTTAATCTGCTGAACCAATTTAGACAAGTATGGATATAGTTTGAGATCCTGGGATAGTTTTTATCTTTTTATTCCACCTAAGGAAATCTGTATGAGGATTCATTTCTTCAGTAAAGGATAGAAAACTCATCATACCTATGTATGTATATATAGTCTATCTATTCCATACTAACTGTTCAAACTTATTCAATGACAAACCCGAGTGAAGTGAGGGTAAGTCGCTAGTAATTATAATAAAGATAATAAAAGTAAGAGCCAAATTGTGTTGAATATTTTTGACAGATATTGTATAAATGGAATTTAGGAAAAAACAGTCATTATATTTAGTGTTTCTGAACAATTGAATTTTCAAGAGCAACAAATTAAGATGCAAAGAGAGTTGAGTATTTAAAAAAAATTAGAATTTTTAAGTGTAAATCATATAAATTTATAGTTTAAAATATTGCTGTAGTCAGTGGTTCTTCCCAGCTGTTTTTCATTTATAAATTCTAAATATTATCAAAAACGTGAAAAGAAAACAATAAAAAAGTAAACTTTATTGAGCACTATTCATATTAAAGGATTATTTATTTTTTTATAAATTACCAAATACAAGATACCAATAGCAGTGAGTGAGCTTTGATATAAAACAACCCATTCTTCCAGAGGGTTGGACATCCCCCACGTGGACGTGGTGCTGAATCTGGACATCCCGCTGCACAGCAAGGACTACATCCACCGCGTGGGGCGCACGGCGCGGGCTGGGCGCGCTGGGAAAGCCATCACTTTTGTTACACAGGTGCTTGTCATATACTATTGTATCATCAAAGCTCATAGTTTCTTAGATTAACGCGAATATTTGACATTTTAAATTTAAACTAAACTTTTCGGATTTTTTCTCCTGTGGCCATGTTGCTGTAGAACATTCGAAAGGACGGGAACCAAAAATCAAAATAAATCCGCGAAAACAAACCGAAAAGATGATTTTATTTAAAATATCAAAGCTCAGACTTAACTGGTGCACTAAGTAGACTGAAATTGTGGTAGGCTATTTCTAAAAAGACAGTTCATTGCTAGAAATGTTTTTTTAACCCAACAAATGTGAAAATGAGTGATATATATTACAGGAATCATTTATTGTGTTAAGTTCAATTTTCTTGTTAATGGCTTCAGTGTGCCAATTGAGAGGTGTTAAGTTATAAAACACTACACTATTATTATTGAAATGACTATATGAACCTAAGTAATTTTTAGACTGTACTATTATTACTTATCCAACTAGATTGAAACTTACATCTATACATATAATAAAATTCTGAATTGAATCTGTACATTAATTATTTTTTGGAATAACTTATTGAAATAGTCATTATTATCGATACAGAGGTCGAATCTATAGTTTTTAGAATTTTTGTCGGTCTGTCTGTCTGTGACCGCATCACGAGAAACCCACTGGACAGATTTTGATGAAATTTGCTGGTTATCTGGGTCAACATATAGGATACTTTTTACTGCGATAAAATATCTATTCTCATCTCTAAGAAATCTACACTAAACCTTAAAACGTAACGAACCCGAGTAGAACGAGGGTGAGTCACTAGTATTACAATAATTATATTCCATGACTTAAAAAGCTAGTTACAATATTTTCATTCAGTACTTATTTATTTCCTCTAACTATTGTCTTACAGTATGATGTGGAGCTGTATCAACGTATAGAGCAGCTGATCGGCAAACAGCTGCCATTATACAAGACGGAAGAGAGCGAGGTGATGGTCCTGCAGGAACGTGTCGCTGAAGCACAACGCCTCACTAAAATTGTATGTGTATTGTATTTATTGTATTGTCTCACTAAAATTATATTTCAAACATAAGCTACAAGATATTGTCCCATTAATTAATAATATAAATGCGAAAGTATGGATGGATGTTTGTTACTCAATCGCGGCTAAACGGATCTGGATGGCACAGATAGATTATATATAGTCTGAAATAGCACATAAGTTACTTTTCATCCCTGAAAAATGTACAGTTCCTGTGGGATAAATTTGTTTTTTTTTTCTCACAGCAAGGAACTATCTATTCCATTGCACATTAACCATTAAAACGTGCGTAGCTAGTATTATATAATATAAATAACTTGTGACATTTAAGGTTTCTGTTGACTGTTTTACTTAATTTTGTAGAGTTATCTCAACACTTAGGATAGCTGATGAAAAAGTGTTTTAAAATGGCCTCACAATTCAGCATTTAATTTAGTATCCTTTAATATAAATACATTTTCTAGACTAATATATGCCTTGAAAAAGAAACAGAAAATGATAATAGCTGCAAACTTCTTAGAACACATTATATCGAATGGTTTGATTTGGATACCTACAGAGTTCCTCCTGGGCTTCTTTTTCTTTGTGACATCACTACCTAGTATAAAACAAAGTCGCTTCCCGCTGTCTGTCTGTCCCTATGTATGTTTACATCTTTAAAACTACGCATCGGATTTTGATGCGTTTTTTTTAATAGATAGTGATTCAAGAGGAAGGTTTATATGTATAATACATGTATATTATAGTACAGAATAACCGAAATATTCAAAGATTTGTATTTCATACTAACCGTTAAAACGTACCTAGGGACGAACCCGAGCGAAGCGAGAGTGAGTCACTAGTCCTGTATATTATGTTATATTTCAATAGGAAATGAAGGAGTTGGAGGATAAGAAGGGTGCAAAGGGCAGGAAGCGCGGCGGTGGCGGAGACTCGGAGGACGACACGGAGGAGGCGGCCGGCGTGAGGCGACGCATCAAGGGGAAGGCTAACAAACATGGGGGGAAGAGGAAAAAACGTTGAATAAATGCCTTTGTGCTATTATAATGCTATCTTATTTATACTAGCGACTAATCCTTGTTTCAATCGGGTTCATCCCTAGGTATGTTTTAACAGGTAGTATGGAATAGACTATATATTTTAGATAGTTGGAGGGCTGGAGAGTGATATAGGCTACTTTTTACCGCGGGAGATGATCTAATTCCCACCAGAAAACACGTTTTAATATAATGCAAAAAAATATTTATGATCAGAATTACTTGAAACTTGGCAGTAATGCTCTTCAATAAAATTAAATAAATGTTTTAGCATTTTTCGAAATTCATTCTATAAGGGGTACATTATGGGATGAAAGTTTGTAGCTTTATCGCGAGCGAAGCCGCGGGTTCTGCTAGTAATATTATAAATATATACTATATACTATCTTAGCAAAATTGACTTTGTTCAATCAACTAAATTTGTAAACACATTTTACCAGTTTTATTATTGATGAAATATAAAAAAATAAATTATTGATGAAGAATAATATTCTAAAAACCTTTTCAAAAGTAAGTTTCAAATTGATATTTCTATTAATATATATTTTTTATGTAAAAGTAAATTTATAATAAATAATAAACAATTTAAGTCATAATTAGCAAATAGGAAGGGGAAAGGATATTAAAATTAGGGGTATATTATTTTTCTTGCTATTTCCATTTTCTTAAATTGGTTAACGATATCATAGTCAATGGCCAGTTTGTAAGCAAACAAAATATTTCAATGCTTTCTTACAATTTATTCTACTAAGTAAACAGTCATTTCTTTCAAATTAAAAAAAATAAATAAGAAAAAGAAATGCGATAAACGCGCCCGCCCCTAAACGAGGCAACGCTCCAAACGCACTCACTAAGCGTCAGAGGAAATCACAACATGGTTTTTAATTTTTTTAATCGTTATTTATTATTTCTATACAAATAGAACTGTACAGATAATTTTTTAAATTATTATTTACCACATTTCATCTGCTCTCACGATAGACTTTTTACAAAAATGAAAACTATCAACACCACGCACGGAATAAACGAGATCGCCCGGCGCTCCGCCCCCCGCACCCGGCAGCCCCGGCGCTCCGCCCCCACCCCCGACACTCCCAGACGAGCCCGAGGCGTACACTTTTTCACCCGCGCGGGGATATCACAAAATAAATAAGTACAATCCAAGCGGTCCTATTCACTTTTCCTTTTCCGATACACATATATAAATAAACACATGGCAGTGATTATATACACGCTCGAATACTTTTTTCAAATTTTGTTCAATTTAAATGCACTAAATATTAGGTGTCGATCCATACAAGATAAATGTATGATAATTTTCACGCGCGAGATGAAAAAGTATACAAGCGAGTCCGCGGCGTGCCGCGAGTGTCGCCGGCCACTCTCTCTTGAATGGTCCGTTTCGTTCTAGATTCTCTTCAACTTGTATTTTAGGCACTTGGACATACCCGCTGCTAGCTCGGTGACGACACACGTCAATGGGGTATTTGACTGCTTATGTTACATTACAATCACACGCAAAATATATATATCATAAAGTAACATGTTACATAAAATTGAATCAAAAAGACTTTGTCTTCTAAAACTCTACTATTGCAATTCATTACAATCGTTTCGATACCGCTCTATCTACATAACAACCAGCTGCTCTAGTACCCATATATTAGTTGACAAGTGTTTTACATATATAATACAATACCTTAACATAATCAACATAAAGGTGTCAAATACCCGATTGAATTATAATAATAAATAAAAAAAAACTTTTCTCTAATGGACATTAAATGCACCGGGATCATACTCTTAACGATATAATACTTAAGGAGTCTGTCCACTACATCGCCTCATACCGTAATGTTACACGCGACGGTGCCGGTCCGGTGACGGCAGATTCTCATACTTTTCAATACAAAGAATATTTTTTTGCCTGACACGGTCCTAGCACGGTCACGGTATGGGACGGTGTAGTGGGCAGACACCTTTAGGCGTGGGGCGCTCGCTCGCGGCACTCGCGGGTCGCAATGGACGCGAGTCCAAACAAATCCAGTCGCTATAAACAAGTTAAAACAAATCTCCCGAAGCGCTCTCGGATGCATCGGCTCGTGACTCGACTCTCCTCGTTGACATACTATGACTAGCATTAAATTTATTGGACTCTTACTACTACTTACACACATCGATCGCTTATAAACTACTAGATACATAATCCCATGCTAAAGTTCTGTTAAAACTGTCACCAATTGTGTTTAGGTAATTATTCTATTTGAAATTAATAAACAATAACGTTAATTCAACCTTAAACGCAACGCTTAAAGTTGTTTTCACAAAGCTATGTACAAAAAGCAATAAATTTTTACGACCAAAACTCACTTGTCAACATACATCAAAACAAATTCAACCTTACACATGCGTGTAAGGTTACAAAGCGTCAAAAAAAGAGCCTTTACAATTGAGGTGTTTTGTAACTCCTGTTGTTAATTACGATTTAATTTAAAAACTGTTTTTACAATAAGTTTCTAGCAAAACAAGCAATGAGGCAAGTTTATCATTAGAGCGTTTGAATTATACTAAATTAAAAGCGCACCCAAATATTCAAGTGGGCGCTCATTTGGTAAGGACATTTTTTATCGCTGATTGTGTATCTAGTTCTTTATTAGTGACTGATGCTTATATATTGCTGAGGCGACGCCGCGCGCTGTTCACACGCCACGTCCCTTCAAACACATTCGATGTCGGTGCAATTCGACGCTTAAGTCTCTAGCCGAATCTAACAGTAATTACGGGTGATTCTCGAAAAAAACCTTATAAAAATGAGATTCCATATAAAACATGATCGGTGTCGTTCACTATCATAATATACAACAAAATCCTCAGTCCAATAAAGTCGAAAACGGTTATCCGAGTACGCTACGGGTTCCTATAACGATATCACAATTTCAACTATACTTATTGCATCACATGATATCTTTCGCGTCGCTGTACTGCCAGCAGAGGTCAAGAAGAGTGAAGGTTTATGATACAAAAGTAGTCTCGTCGTGTCCGGTGCGGTCCATTGATCATCACAGAGACTGATGGACCGGGGAGGCGGCGCCGGCGGGCGGGTGCTCAGTTGAGGTCCCTGTCCTCTAAGTACTTGTACTCGAACGTGAAGCCCTCCTTCTTCCGCTGGCCCCACTTCTCGTAGTCAAAGTATATGTATGTGCCCTGCGGAATTGATATTAAAAAAATAATTATTTAGTTTTAATATAAAAAAATAGTTTTTTTTGTAGCCATTTTGTACCAAATACTATACAAGCCACCTTTGCCCACATCGGTCTCTGTATTATCTGTGTTACTCTGTTAATATGCAATAAAGAATATATATAAGTATATAATAATATATCAAACATTTTAACCATTACTAATATTGCCCTATGATGCATTAATGCCTTTAATCGTCTCAATAAAATTTAGTTACAAATAAACACATATTTTTCATTATATGACTTTTAAAACATAATAGTTAAACGTCATATTCGACAAAATTAAAAAAAAAAGTTTGAACAAAAAACGTCTCTAATACACCCACTTACGGCAATTACAATTACGTGTATATCTATACTGCACACTTTAATCAGTATATGTAATGCACCTGTTCATACTCCTCATTAATAACCTTCGGCTCCTCGTGCCGCTGGAACCACATCATGTACTTGGTGTGGAACCGCCAGCTCTGCTTCTTGAGCGCCTTGGCAGCTAGGTACTGGGCCTTCGTGCCCTCCATGTAGTAGAACACGAAGAATAGCGTCTCCGTCGACAGCCGCGTGAAGAACTCCACTGAGTCCGAGTGGGGTAACAGCACCTGACACCAGTTTCATGGATTAGTTTTTTTAGTCTTTACTAATATTATAAAGAGGTAAAATTTGTGAGTTTGTGTGACGTTGTGGGGGTAATCTCTGGATTTACTGAACCCATTTCGATGACATTTGGTACAGACTTCAAATGCCTTTCAGACATGCAGGATTCCTCACGATGTTTACCTTCAACGTAAGGTAAATGGCAATCATGTTATAAATGATTCGCATTTGAAAATATCACAGGTGCGAGATAATATGTGAATTGAGCCCGCTTAGAACATAAGTACCTAAAAGGACTCATACAGATTATCCTCTGCGCGAATCGAACCCACAACTTTTTTACTGTAAAAGCTGAGGATGACATTTTTTTGTTGAATTTACAAAAAATAAGTAACATTAAGACTCTTTATGTTTTAGAAAACCAACAAGCACATTATTAATTGAAATGTAACGTATATATGTACATACATAGTAGTATTATAGTTATAACAGCTATTCATCTAAACAGACAAACAAAATTCAAGTGTTTATTTGTAATGTCAAAATAACACCTTTTTACTAAATGCATAATATACAGTAGTTATAAGAAAAACACAATTTAAAAAAAAGTCTGACTGTTCGTCTAGGCTAATCTCCGAAACGGCTGGACCGATTTCGGCGGGACTTTCACTGGCAGATGAACTGATGTTACAAGGAGTAACTTAAGACTCCGCCAGTAATAAATGAGACAAAGATAAACAAAATGTTACCTGATTATAGTAGACGGGTGTCTGACAGATGTTCCGCGGCAGGTACACGCGCGTGCGCTCCGAGTCGGACGGGTGCGGCATGTGGTAGAACGCCGCCTCCATCATCTGGAACTGCACCTGGTGATCCTGGAACACCATCGCATTATATGTCTTCAGTCCTTTTTAACGTCCCACTGCTGGGCGTGGGCCTCCCTTCAATACGAGGGGGAATTAAAAAAAACATAGTTCTTAATATTTTTTAACATAATTAATTTTGAACTAAAAGAATATAGAACTAATTGTAAGAAAATCAATAGTAAATTCAATGATTGTGTATTCAGTCCTTTTTAACGTCCCACTGCTGGGCATGGGCCTCCCTTCAATACGAAGGGGATCAGGAAGTCCACCACACTGGCCGAGTGCGGGTTGGTGGATTTTTAAAACTATCGCATTACATGGATTAGATAAATAATTTTATACATATTTTTTTATAATGTTTATATCATACTTACAAAAAACAAAGATAAAAAAAATTGTCCCACTGAGTTCCTTTCGCCAGTTCTTTATAGGACTGAGGCTTTCTTTTCTGAACTAGTGGTAGACTTATGAAGGCCAGTAAAAATTTGTAATAATTTAGTGCTGAATAAAATATGATTTTTGTTTTTATTAAAAATATCATTTAATTATAAATTGTAGAAAAATTTCAATATTTTAGTTTTTAAAATTGTACCAGTTGTATAGTGCCACTATACATTCTTACAACGTACGATAATTATTATATTTTATGAATAGTTTTCAATACTACTCTATATCAACTCCAACATTTAGATGTACACTGTACAGGAACGAAACCATACTCATATTGTATGCATTATCTTTCCTCTTCCAATTCTTAAGATATAAAGAGCAGAAGAAGAAAAAGAAAAGCAGCGTACGTTATTTATAATGAAATCTTTTAAATAAAATCCAAATGTTAAACTACTTTAAAATTCACAATACTAACATTGTTTTACCAGAACATAAACAATCCAGTGCACACATTCATATACTAACATTATTGAGTGGCAGCGGGCCGAGCGGCGCCACGCCGAGTAATGGCGGGATGTGCGCCTGCGACAGCGCCGTGTTGCGTCGCGCCGCGCCCACGCCCACGCCTACTCCACCCTGGAATGTTACATTTTATTGTTTGTGTTAATTTATTAGTAGTAAATGGATATTATGTAGATTGAAAGTGGGAAATAATTGTTGTTTTTTTTTTCAAAGTTTATAAAGAAAAAAAAAACAATTGGTCTTCAATCATCATAAATCAAATGTCGACGCGCGCTCAGAAGAATTGCATTTTGTATTTTTTTTTATTATGTTCAAAACACGCTCTATATAATAAATAATCAAGAGAAGCGACATAACCTACAAATAAAATAATAATTAACTTTTATCTGAAAAACTCCATTTCACATAAACAAATATTAACAAACAAACCAATTTTCACTTTTTAAATAAAATCATTCTCTCGTATACATATTGAATTTTTTTGGGAATTTATTTTGATTTTTGGTTTTCTAATGTTTTACGGCCATCATAGTCACGGCCCACGGTGGAGACCAAGGTTTTAAACGTCTCAAATGTCATTACAGTTTATGTTGATTTTTGCCTCTTCGGTTTGTACAAACAGGCAGATTATTGAATTGCACACTTTTCAGGATGTAACTAAATTAGTCCACCACACCTTAATCTGACGGTTTCAAGTATTTTACCTTATCTAGAAATACTTGAAACCGTCAGGTTAAGGTGTGAGTATCTGCAAAATCCCCTCTTGAGCTACCCTACTAATAGTTTCGTTAAATTGTCAAATATTCGAGTAAACCTAAGAAAGTATCATTCTTCACTGATTATTTTATTATTTTACTACAAAAAAAGAAGTTCTATGTTCGTCTGTATATATATTTTATTTATTATATAATGTATAAAGTCCGTGTGTGCAGGCACCTGCGTGTGATGGTGGTCGAGGCCGGCGCGCTGCACGGCCTCCTGCGCCATGCTCTTGAGCGAGGCGGTGCCTACGCTCACGGCGGCCGGCGCGCTCGCCGCCAGCGCCGCCAGCGCCGCCGGCGTGCTCTGCGACAGCGGCGTGCTCGGCGTCTCGCTCACTCTACCGCTGCGGATTGGAATTGCACAACTATACTATATAATTATAAAATCTCGATTGACGACACGTTTGGCTCAGTTTGTAGTAACCCTACTTGCTGTGCCAGCGGTCTCGGATTCGAGTACCGCTGGGGGGCATTCATTCGTGTGATGAGCACGAATGCTTGTACTCCAGTCATGGGTGTTTATATTTATAATATGTATGTATTTAAAGTTATATATGTGTAGTGTATCAACTATCTGGTATCCATAACGCAAGCCTCGTAGCTTACCATGAAACTAGATGGTGCTGTGTGTTAATGTCCCAACATATTTATTATTATTATTTAAAGAGGTAAAGTCTGTGAGTTTGTGACGTTGTAGGGGGTAATCTCTGGATCTACTGAACCGATTTAGATGAAATTTGTTAAGAAAATAGTGAGACCCCGGGAAGGATATAGGATACTTTTTATCCCGGAAATTGTCCCTTAAAGGGGTGAAAATGGGGATGAAAGTTTGTATTGGGAAGCAAGCTAAGTTATAAATAAAACTATTTTTTCGGATTTTTTCACGGATGTATTTTGATTTTTGGTTCTCGAAGTTACGAGTGCCTTACAGCAATCATGGTCATAGGAGAGACTGATGGTTGGTGAGAGATGATTGCTGTAAAGCATTTGAAACATCGGAAACCAAAAAACAAAATATACGTATATTGACGAAAAGACCGAAAAGATAGTTTTATTCATATTTTTTTTCCATTTTTGGGTTCCGTACCCGAAGGGTGCCAACGGGACCCTATTACAAAGCCTCCGCTGTCCGTTCGTCTGTCTGTCAACGGGCTGTATCTCATGAACCAAAATAGGTTGAGAATTGAAATTTTCAGTGTTCTATTGCTGCTATAACAACAAATAATAAAAATCAAGATGACGAATTTCAATACGTACGATTAGTACATAGTGTTATATCTTGCACGATGGTACGGAACTCTTCGTGTGCGAGTCCGACTGGCACTTGACCGGTTTTGATTATAATACCTTATTTTTATATTATTTTTGAAAAAGACTATACAATTATGGGGGGAACATCGTATTATTTTTGCAAAAAGTTAAACGTTAAAAACGTTAGCGATGGCCGCTTAGCGGTACATTTTTTTGAGCGACAAGGATTTGCTTGGGGTTCGCGTTTTTTGCCATTGAGCATGGAATATACAATTTTGTTATGCTACGTCTCAATATTGTACTATTTTTTTGATAAAAAAAATTCAAAAGACCTTAGTTTAGTTTACTATTTAAATAAAAAAATAGGCTTTAAAAAAGTAATGGAAGAGATGCTATAAGTTCAGTTTACGGCATATGAGTAAATATCCCTACAGAGTTAAAGTTTTATACAACCCGCACAAAGATAGGTTCCCTGCTACATATAGCGATATGTGAGCTATATGCGAGCCATTTCTTTTGACATTGTCAACAGATTGAAAGGAACAGTTTTGGCATTTACCTTATGTAATAGTGTTTAATATTTTTTTTAAATTGATCGATCGATCAACAACACTACAGCTCGTCAATAGCTACTAGACAAAACAGAAGAGAAAAAGGTACTGAACTGTTTTATCTTTGCCTATCGTAGCACGTTTATAGTTTTGTCCGTGCAGGGATACTGACTCATGTGGTACACGGTCTCCAAATCAAATCTAAATATACTTTATTCAAATAGACTTTTAAATTTAAAATGTAAAATTGACGATCCGAAAATGCTTACTTTTGAATCGTCAATTTTAAATTTTAATAATATGTCACGTCCACGTCACGCCACAAGTCCGTGAGGAATCTACCACCTGCAAGCGTACAAACAAACACTCACTTGTTAACAACATGTTGCGGCGTATGCGCAAGCGAGGGCCCGTTCACAGTGAGCGGCGAGGGCGCGGAGGACGCGGGCGGCGGCGCGGGCGCGGCCGGCGTCACGCTCGGCGCCATCGTCGTTGACGACGTGGACTTTGATATCTGGACGCGATACGTACACATTACATACATTTGCATATATACATATATGTAAGTCTTAAAGCTCTACAGAATTATAAAACATGCACTATGAGTACATATGTCGCAGGGAAATTGTACGGAGTTTTGTCAATCGCCTTCTTTTCTTACAATATCACGGGACAATTTTAGTTAGTAATTAGTATACCTAGTAGCAATACCGTGATGTGGTGGGAAGTCTCGGTACGTTTTGATTTTGAATGTGGGCAAGGAAAAAAACTTAATAGGTAGTATATATGCGACAAAACGTGCCATCGCCGGTAATGTAAATAATTCTGAGTGAAAACTATTATCATATTTTATTAAACACCTATTGAACTAATGAATAATAATTAATTGATTAATAATTAAAAATATACTTAACATTTCCATTCCTTTATTTTACAAAGTCTATGGTTCATGTTCCGCTTCAAAAAAGATTTTAAATGTGACCAATAAGTGATCGTTTCATAATTTAACAGCTTTTATTATCTATCTAGTGAATTTGTCAAAATTTCATTGATTCACAATAATCACTGAATGTGCTTAGGAAAATTATAATATACCTAAAAATGTCCCGTGACATTGTAAGAAAAGGAGAAAACTGACAATACTCCGGTTAATTTTAATTTCACGTATTTTACAATTTCTCTGCGACATATACAAGAATTAAAATTATATTGGTGATCATAAAAATCTCAATTCCAAGTATAGAAACATCTTTGCAACCATCATAGTAAGTACAATAATTTGCAACAAGAGAGAACATATTAATTACTTATAAATAAATAAAATCAGTAGTTTTAACAAGAGATTATGATTCAAATGAAATAAATTCTTTATATCGATTGGATACTAAGATAAAATTAATTTAAAAAGAACATGCTTGCCTAATGCCAATTCCATTAAACTTGAGTGTAGATAATTCAATTTCGATATTTATTTTTATTCTTATATAGTATTAAAACATCAATATTTGTTAAGTTGTCACTCAACTTACCAATGTTTCCAAACAGAAGCTTGAAAACTAAACGAAAAAGAGATATTGCAGAATTGCAATTAATATTATCAACAAATATTTTAAATTTTCATATAATCGTGTCAGATTAAAAATTACAACTAATGTGTTATTTTTATAATGATTATAAAATAAATAAAAAGCATATATTGTATTTTAGGCATTAACATTCCCATTATTAGTAAGGATATTTGCACAAAAAACAGTAGCGTAAGTGTAGCTTGAAAGCATCCTTGGACTATATTTTGACTTTTTATGTATATTTGTTGTTAAAAACATAAATAAACAATCATGCATTGTTAATATAACAATTAATATATATTCACTGCAATGTACATTTTTTTATTGTTATATTACGTAACTGTATAAATATGAAAATAAAATGCACCAATGTGCAAAAATAATTTAACCAAACTAAAGAAAACTAAAGTTTATAATGCAAATGAATAGTAAATAAAATATATATATATTCTAGGTGTATATATATCACTAAATAACAATGTTCAATTCAAAATTTATATTAAAGAACACCAATTCAATTCAATTTCTTAAGCCACCAGAAACAGAATTGAATTGAAAAAGAAACTGCCGTATTTCACTTACACTAGAACTTTCATCACTCGACAATATAACTAACTGCGTAGAACACACCATAACTTGGAAATTAAATTGCAATAAACAAGTTTCGTAATAGATTATTAAAAAAACAACTTGTTCCGATGACAATACAATATATGTACGTAATAATTGACAAATGCGGGTAGAAACAGTGTTTCTTATAAAATGGCAGCGTTTCTAGTCATTTAGAGTGAAAACGCGGGAGTTTTAAATCTGATAATGCAACGTGTTTTAAAAAAATATTTGTAGATTACTAAATATGTTATATTTAACTTTCAATATAAAAATATTTTTGATTGTCATATAGTATTTCAATGGGAAGATATCTTTGATTCTCAAGCAAATAAATAAAATTAATTCATTAAACAAATTTTTGATTTTGATTTGTTGCTATTTTACGAAGTTACGTACATTATAAAGAATGTGTATATTTTTACAATTAAACTATGCAATATATTGAAATTAAGTACATCTATATATATAAAAGAAAGTCGTGTTAGTTACTTCGCTTATAACTCAAGAACGGCTGAACCGATTTAGCTGAAAATTGGCAGGGAGGTAGTTTAGAGCCAGGAGAAGGACATAGGATACTTTTTATCCCGTTCGACCGCGTTCCAATTTTTATGATATTTTAATTTTTGGATTTCTCTTAGTCCGGAATAGGTAAGTATTAAAACATATAATTAAAATGTGAGAAAGAAAGATTTTTTCTTTTTATATCTATTTAAAACGTACCTAGCGACGAACCCGAGCGAAGCGAGGGTGAGCCGCTAGTATATATATATATATACTATACTACTAGGTAGTAAGTAGGTATACTACTAGGTGACAACAGTATACATTACATATACTTCATAAAGCCCGCTTTGCTTGGCGTACGTGTTTCTTTCAGAGAGTTTAATATATAATGTAGGGTTTTCGCTTTTCAATTAAATATTTAGATTAAATAATACAAACAAATAAATAAAAAAATCAATTATTTTTGAAGTCGATGTGCTTTGCTTTGTATCGGCCGACACTGACTTCGAAAATAATTGTTTAGGTATTGAAAACTCCCAATCAGTTACTTTCTACTTTTTAGTGCTTTTTTTGAAGTCGGTTTTTATTTTTTTGTTAAAGTTTTTATTTTTCCCTTTTTAGTGTAGACATAATAGTATCAAAGTAAGAAGAAAGTATTTTAATAAAATATTCGCTTAAACTGTTTAAGTTACTTTGATGCCAATTTTTATATTAAGGTTCACAAAGAAAAATTAGCTTTTATTAGTAACACTAAAATGCTGGCTCTAAAATCCGATTCTAACGTGTTAGGCTTGTCAAATCAAACAAAATAAGCCTAAACTCAAAGTATCTACTATTAGCCGTTGAAGAGTTCCACCTATCCACCTTCTGGCCTTACCATCAGATCAGGTCAACGATACAGAAACACTGCACTATCAATAGGAATAGACACACACATGCAAAGTTTCAAGTCAATCTGACGATTAGAAGTAGGTTAAATTCATCATTAGCTATTTTTTTTTATTTTTCAACCCTTAGGGGTGGTATTTTTGTTTGAAATTTAAATTGGACCATTCTGGAAGTATACACTTTCAAACAAAACAAAAATTGTCTAAATCGGTTAATAAATGACGTAGTTCTGAGGTAACAAACATAAAAAACATACAGCCGAATTGAGAACCTCCTCTTTTTTGAGGAAGTCGGTTGAAAATAAAAAAACCGACTGAATAAAAAGCGAACTAAAAAGGTGAGAACAAGTTGACGAAGGAATACAGTATTATGCAGTCGGAGACATATAATCAAATAATCGAGTTCTTCAATCTAACAACTTTTTTTATATAGGTAATACTTACGTAGAACTATTCTGAATCACTTGTAATCGTTAGCGAACTTGTTTTATCAAAGCAAAGGTTTAAACGTTATCAGAGTTTAGATAAAAAATATAACATTATACATAAAGATATCAAACTGAGCACTTTGAAGTAAAGCATGAATCATATGATAGGAAAAATGATTTTATTGCAAGGATAAAGCGACACAAAAACCTCATAGATAAATAGAATCCCACATTCTTCTCATAATACTCGAAAATCTTAATTTTCTTTCATTTATACCGATAAATAAAATTGAAGTGTGTGTCTGCCAAATGCATGCATGTCAAAATAAAAGATTTTTACTAAATGCATATGAAATTATATACGATACTCATAAAAAACACAATTTTTAACACTTCTGTCTGTCTGTTTATTCCGGCAAAATTGTCCAAAACGGCTGGACTGATTTTGACGGAACTTTCACTGGCAGATAGTGGATGTTATAAGGAATAACTTAGGCTATTTTTATTTTAAAAAAAGTATTAGGGTTCTGCTGAAAAAAAAATGTACCGGAGAGTAAGTCGCTAGAATTAACTAAAATATTAATATTATATATTCACAAAAAATCTATGTCAGTGGTTACAGATAAGTATACGTCGTCAACCGTAGCCTACATACTTGTATATTGTAATACCAAGAGAATCGTTCCTGCGTAACCACCCAAGGTTGGTAGTGATAAGAAAAGGAGAGAAAAGAGTATCACAGTCTACTAATTCATACTGTGGCTTAACGAAGACGTCTAGACACGTGAGGAGATAGTCCGACTGTCATATATCTTTATATATATAATTCTTCTGTGAGTGTGTATGTCACTGAACTTCTCTCAAACGGCTGGACCGATTTTGATGAATTTTTTTGTGCGTGTTCAAGGGGATCTGGGAATGGTTTAGATTCACAATTTGAATAATAATTTTCATCAAAAAATTATTAAAAAAAGTTTGAAATTTTCAAATTAAAGACGTGTAGACAGGACAACGTCTGTCGGGTCCGCTAGTAAATATCTATAACACTCGGGAAATGTCTTCAGAGTTGAAAGGTTTAACCACGGTAATGTAATGCATACAGTATTCCAACTCGGGCCTGTCCTTGAAATAATTACCTACAGCCGAGCGGCACGTACCCACGCGACAGGGCTGCTATAAATTAGAGATTTGAAAATATTTGCGCCTCGACTGAGACGTACGAAAAGCTTTATTGTTAAATGTAATAGTATAAAGAATCTGCATTCGGATAAAAAGTTTAATTAAAAATACTTTAATTTTTATTTTTAATTTAATTAATTAATTTTTATTTTTAAAACATACGATGTCTCGATACTTTTTTGTTTGATATTAGCAAAGTTACGGGAGGAATCAAGTGTTTATTTTTGTATCAAATTATAAAAGTTACATAACATAAACACCTTATACAATTTTCGTATTCAATTATACGATGTGGCAGCCCCGCACGGTTGTGTACCGAGTGTATACCGTACGCGACGCGCGTAGGTATAACTCGATTTCCGACGATTTGTATGAAGATGGAATACTGTATGTAATATTACCGTGGTTTAACTGTAGCTTGCAGGTATTAACTACGGAACCATTCACCACTTATATTGACAACCCTATATTTAGACAGAATATTTAGTCGCTTATGAATTAAAATCCGATTTTTAAATTGTGACAGTTTTATATTCGAATTGGACAAAAAAGCAACAAAATAAAAACAACATAATATAATCAGTATATGTAAATATAAACAACATATATAATGTGTAACTCTCGATCAAAAATAAGTACTAGATACACAATCAGAGACAAAAAATGTCCTTACTGAATGAGCGCTTATTTGAATATTTGAGCGCACTTTTAATTAAAATAATTATTTTTTGTGAAAACAACTTTAAGCATTGCATTTAAGGCACAATTTAAAATGTTGCATATTTATTTCAACTAGAATAATTCGCTGCCCCCGGAGAATAAAATGATAATTGCAAAAACACCATTTTACAGGAAAAATAAAAAGCCACTTTTTGACTTTAGCTTTCTAAGCAATAGATGTAGAGAGATAAAAAAAAACTCAATGATAGCTAATTTTTAACTTTTATAATGTTTTAATATATGTTATACTAAGGTAATCCGAACTGAAGATATTTAGAATTTAAAAAGTTACTAAAATTTTGTTGTTGGTTTTATTTACTAATAACAATTAACATTTTATTCTCGTTACTTTTAACAGATTGTGAGTATTGCATTACTGTTTTACAATAATATTTAATGAATAATACAGACCAAATTAACGGAAAACAATATCACTTGGCATTCTATTCTAGTTAATATGTATAATATGTGTTATCACTGTCTAATGTAAGCTTGCTCTAATGACAGAAAAGAATGGCAAGATATTTCTTTGCTCAGTCATTATTAGTACTTTTTACTAAGAACATGTTAGTCGCCGAGCCTAAGCAGATTTTTAAGAGAACAAAATGACAATGCGTTCACAATATTATTTCGCCGATTTATTTTTCAAGAATATTATTGCAAAAGTATTTGTTGTATCTTTAATGAAGAAACGGTTTCACTAACTTCATATTATATATTTTTTCAAGAAGCCTTGTGTCTGAAAGAGTAACGAAAATGATTGCATTATTCTATAACTTTTTAAATAATGGCTGGATATTCACGAAAAAAATTGGGTAGATGTATTAGGCACCGTAGACTTCAAATATGGGATAACACTAAAACTATGGTAATATCAGTAATCATTTTAATCTCCGGGGACGGCGAATTATCAAAACACAATTGGTGACAGTTTTAAGAGAACTTTTACATGAGATTGTGAATCTAGTTAGATACTTTTTTGATCGATGTGTGTAACGTATGATACGTAAGTGTGAGATACTCACGGGCGCGGGCTGCGCGGCGTGCGCGGGGTGTGGCGGGTGCGCGTTGTGCGCGGGTGCGGGCGGCGGCAGCAGCGCGCTCGACACCGGACCATTCTCCACTACTTCTGTTGCGGACGGACAGACAAACTGATTTGTATATAGATGAAAAAAATATTATGTGCATTTCATATAAGCAGAGAATAATTCATGTGCACCAATTGATTGGTTTCGATGGAACGTATATAAATAGAATTTGATTTATCTAATATTATTCTTGCTACGACTTGCTGTCGCGGGTTCGAATCCCGCTGGGGGCATTAATTTGTGTGACAAGCACAAATGTTTGTACTCGTCATGGGTGTTTATATGTATAATATGTACATATGTATTTAAAGTTATTTGTGTGTAGTGTATCAACTATCTTATATCCACACGCCTCGTAGCTTACCATGGAACTAGATGGTGTTGTATGTAAATATCCCAACAAAATATACAAAAATAATTTTATAATTGACATGATTATATATAAACATAACTTTCAAATATATGTAGTTAGCATGAACATGATAAATCAGTGAGTACAGTAATTGAACTTGCTATCCATTTTTTGAACAGGAGTTATATGTTTTCTAGCACCTACCTATATGATATATGTAATTATACATGTAAAAAGCACATTTTTAAGCGTATCTTCAATGGCTTGATGCATTTTATTATATAAATCGGTCTAATTGTAGGAGTAAGATATGGTATAAAAAACATATTGTTATTGCGACCATGAATCAATCGAAGAATAAAATAAAGAAATACACATAAAAAGGATTGTAAGTTGTCAATGTTTCTAATATTGATTATATAAAAACACATCAATGGCAATAAAGTACTGACGTATTTAGACCTATCCCGATGTTTAGCAGTTTGTCGAGTTGCAGCGTGTTTGGGTGTATGTTTATCACGTGAGGCGTGCATGTGACACTACTACTACGCGTGTGACATTGACATTGAAAATGTTTTATTAAGAACGGGAAACAAGGTCGATTTGATATCGCAGTTGCGAAAACGTCCAGCGTAATTGGTTTGCTAAAACTAAAATCCTTAACATTCACTCTTACACCAACTTTAATAGTTTTAATGCGAACCTTTTAAAATCAAAAATGTCTGTATTGGATAAAATTCACCTATACACACGCAAATCAATAGATATTTTTCGACATTTAAATAAACGAAATAAAAAAAACATGTTTCTATGGAAATGATTAAGAAGTGAAACTTCATTGGTTATTTATATTTCAAATCTGTAAGATTAATTGTAAGAAAATTAATAAAAACTTTTAATATATTACACTCAATAGTATTTATCTCTTTCTATCTAGCTGGATTCTTACATCTATCGCTTAAACGGGACGAACCCAAGCGAAGCGAAGGTGAGCCGCTAGTTATAAATACTTTGCAAACTTTAAAACAAATTAGTAAAAATAATAATCTTTGAAGATAGCAACAGAAAAATATTTAATATACCTATGTCATTTTTCAGACAATAACAGCGGTTACTATGGCAACCTAAAGCAAGCGGTTACTATGGCAACCATGACGGGTTTTCGTGACGCGACCTTGAAATTTTACTCTCAAAGAAGTTTCACTTCAACAATCTTGAGAGTGAAAAAATATCATAAAGACAACCGTTAATCACAAAAAGAAACTGTAAAAAAAAGAGTAAATATAAATAAATAAATCATTAGAGAAGTAACAAAGCGACAATACCAACCGGTCTAGCACACGTCTAACAATATTAAACATATGAATACTGAATGTATATCGATGCAGTTAGCGTGACTCAGCGGAGGTCACTGACATTACCAAGGAAAACAAACATGACTAATTGACGTCGCATATCCTAATAAAATATTATTATCTAGTGCGAAATAGAATATATTTAGTACAAATAATGGAATCAAGTACACTAAAGTAAATAATATAATAAAAATTAGCCGTACAACGCAGTCGTGATTAAAAATTTGACATTAGGCACTAAATAAAAAAAAAACAATTTCAACTTAATATCTGAAACAATATCATTAACAGAACGTAAATACTTTTTTATTATTTACTTCGCAGTTAAACGTTGAAAGATTAGTATTGCTTTAATACTTTTCAAATAAAGGAAAAATATAATATTCCGTGAAACAATTGCTAACACAAAATATAGGTATTACTAGGAACAAATACAATTCTTAATACTATAATATAATATCTATATATCTATACATATAATAAAATTCTAAGTCGAATCTGTACATTAAATATTTTTTGGAAAATCTTATTGAAATAGACATTATTATCGATACAGAGGCCGAATCTATAGTTTTTAGAATTTTTGTTTGTTTGTCTGTCTGTCTGTTACTGTATCACAGAAAAACTACTGGAGGGATTTTGATGAAATTTGGTATGGTCATAGCTGGTTATCTGGGTCAACATATAGGATATTTTTACCGGGTGAAAATGTCTCACTTCCGAGAAAAAATACAAAAACTGCAATGTACTAATATGTAAAACATAAGAATTTGGTTTTTGGTCATTTGAACGCGGGCGGAGCCGCGGGCAATGCTAGTACAATATACAAACTAAAATAAATATTCATATCTAAACAACCACGGGAAATGAATGACGAATGAATTTGGCAATCTAAATTTAGTGAAATAGCATAGTCTGAAGTTTTACAAGCGTCATTCGATCATAGCCATATTTATGTCAGCTGACATTTTTTCTAGATCACGGCCAATTAATAAACTTACGTACAAATATTTACATACACCGACACACAAACAAAATTACATAATCGCCATTGAACTTCACATCTACGTTGTAGCACAATTTATTTAAACACGAAATCCGTAACATGCACTCGCAATTTATTTACCATCGTCCATATTTATCCAACATGCGCGCGGGAAAACATTCTTTTATGTTTTTTGTTTTATTTTTCCAGGCACAGGTTGCCTCAGTTAAGGTTTGACGACTGAACCAAGTAGCTGTGTCATCGCTATTGGTAATAAGCCAATTTATTCTTTGGAATATATATGTGAATATTTATAACGCATTCGATTTTGATTCTTACGTGTTTAATTTTAGGGAGGTTAGTCGTGTGTTTTTGTTTTAAGAGGATTGGCGTTTATCCAAGACGTCGTAATCATAATGCCGGCCGATTGTTCCATTCATTCTTTGATAAGCGTTTGTTTTGTAAACATAGCGTTGTACGATTATATCGAGACGTTGATAACAGACAGTACATTTATTTTTTGCCACGTTACATTCAACTGTCCTCCTTTCTTTTTAAACATTGCGCTAACAAAAAATGTATTAGATAATTCCCAAGCATTTTTTTTTTTTCAAGCAAAGGAATTAAATTAGTGATACAAAAAATTAAACATAAATACTTAAGTGCAAGACAAAAAATAAAAAAAGAATACATGCTAAATTATTTGTTAGGCTCATAATTGTGTACTTGTTAAGGCTTCTAAACTTTTAGTGTCTGTTTGAGTCTCGGTGTGCGAAATATATAAATAAACATAGTTGTAAGAATTACTTGTATATTTGCAGTATACATATTGTATATAATGTGTTTTTATTACACATGTGGTCACTCAAGTATAAGCGTAAATGTGTACAAATACGATTGTGTGTGAGCACGTGCTTGTGTATGTTTATGTACGTATGTATGCTTATATGTATGCATGTGTGCGTGTATACTGACCGCTCGTCCTGTTGAGGTGCGGCGAGGGCGGCGCCGGCTGCTTGCTGGGCGTGGAGGCGCCGGACGCACCCGTATTGTTTATACTGCCGGCGTTAATATATGATATATTTATATGTTACGTACATTATTATATCATCGTTAATGGTGTAATATATAAAGTGATGTGTACAATTGGGTAATTGACCGCACCAATCAATTGACATAATTTTTATGAGCTGTCAAAATGCTATTCCCATAATAAATTTGTATGGCAATAGTAACTTATGACGGGCACTTGCTTGACAACTCAATTGACTAACTATTCATTGATTTCAAATCAACTAAAAATCTAATTTTACTTCAACTTTTCAATGCTTTCTTTAGAGAATTTGTGTTTTAGTGGTGCCAATTAACCAATTTTTATAGATTTTTCTTAAAATTTCTTGACTAACAATTATTTTAACTATCAAGACTGATGAGATTTGTCCACTATCATAAAAATAATTACTATTTTGTTTTTGAAATAAATTTTATATATGAAATATTACACTCACAATACATAGCATGAATATAAAATAATATTTTTTTAAAATTTATGGTTAGGTTAGATGATATGGATGACAGGTCAGATTTTAATAAAATTTCTCTTTAATAACCCGCTGACATTTGAATGTAACATAGTATATGTTGAAAGTTACTGGTTATAAGGTCATATCATGTTAATAATAATGTTGAGTAATGGCTAAAATATATAAGACAAGCACGAAACGACATTTCATTATATCTATTTAATAAGAAATTTATATTATTATGTAAAATGTTTTAATGTTAATGTTGGGATGGCACTGACCCCTAAACACATGAATAATTTTGGCAATTATACACCTAATAACTTGTATAGTTGTTTTAAATTCAATACTGAATTTATTATTGCTATTATCAATTACCAAATTGACAAAAGAATTTTTATTCCGTAAAATGATAAAAATCTTCTATATACTTATGTCTATACTTATATATTTTATATACACATATGTACATGACATTTTGAATGACACACAAATTATACATATCCCAGCCTATACTAAAAATATAAAGTAGCCCACAAACGTACATTGAGGTTGGTATATGTAATATATAACATAATATATAGAACTAACCTATTGGTGGAGACGACGGTGTGATTGAGCAAACTAACGGTGGGGCTGCCCACGCACGACACGCGCAGAGGGAGCGGTTTGACCGGCTGCAAGTATGTAAGGTGCTCTTAGTTTATGGTTCCTGACAATACTTTATTAATCTATCTTCACTACATAGTATAAAATAAAGTCGCTTCCCGCTGTTTGTCTGTCCCTATGTATGCTTAGATGATTAAAACTACGCAACGCATTTGGAGGCGGTTTTTTTTAATAGATAGAGTTCAAGAGGAGGGTTTTTATGTATACTAACCGTTAAAACGTACCTAGGGACGAACCCGAGCGAAACGAGGGTGAGTCGCTAGTCTATATATATAAAAATCGATGTGTGTATTTAAGTTCCCTATGAATTCCAAAACGGCTGGAGCGATTTTGATGAAATTTTTAGGCAATCTACAGATTAGCCCAGCGATTGATCCTGTGAAGTTTGGTAGCGATCGGAAATTCAAACGCGAGCGAAGCACGGGTAATGCTAGTTAATCTAGATTAACGTATCTTTGTACTACTAGTATATACTTTCATTAGATTACTTTCATAGATTTACTACATTAATTGACATTTTAAATAAAACTGCCTTTTAGGGTTTTTTCGCGAATTCATTTTGAATTTTAGGTCCCGAGGTTTCATGAGAATCATGGCTTTTCCCTATAAAGCATCCGAAATAACGGAAACCAAAAATCAAACAAGTTCGCGAAAAAATCCGAAACGATAGTTTTAGAAAAAATCGCTCTATTAGCGATCGTCTGTTGTACGTTTTCCTACAACTTTTCCTTATCTTTTTGAGTATACTAAAAATAATTTTATTATTATTATTACAACACTTCTATATCGTTTTTATAATGTATAAGATTTAAGTGAATTTAATAAAAACAATTAACTATAGACTCTGACAAAGTCAGCGTTTTGAATATTTTGTTTTAAAAATTTTGTATATAGAGTTAAACATATTTACAATATCGAAAGTACTTCAACACTCATAATTTCCAATAAATATTGATAAATATATGAGTAAGTTTATTTACAAACAAGTATTTTCTATTGTAGCAAACATAGATTGGACATAGTATTGTCAAATACTAACGTCAATTTAGCTTTATACTCGATAAGATAATATGTAAGTACATGAAAACCCACTTATTGGCATGTTATTTTTTTAAACAAAATAATAAATATACCTAACAATTTAATTAATGTTCGTGATATAATTAATTGGATTGAAAACTATCAATTCTTTGACTACGATTGATCTCTTAAAATAAAAAAAAATCGTTGTCATAGGAACCGTAAACTAATCGCAAACTCTTTAAAAAATTTAGAATGTCTACATCAATACTCCACACAAGTAATGTTTAACAATAGATGTATGTAAGTTAATGATGGCATTAATATTAGGTTAACGATGAGTGTCCATCTCCGGTGGGGGCTTACTTTGGCCGTTACTTCCTCTTTCTTCTTCTTCTCAACGTCTATTGAGTCTGCCGTGTGGTTCTGGACGTCTAGCGCTGGGGACGTTACAGGACTGGTTCCTGGAAAATGATAATAATTAGTTAATAAATATTTTGATGAATAGTAAAAAAAATGTTCCAGCGAGTGTGGTTCATGCTGATAGTTTCATATTATCTATAAATAACTAGCTTTTGTCGGCAGCAAACATAGAGATACATGGCGTCACATCATAACAGAAGCGGTGGCGCAAGACATGACCACGACCACTCTCTCTGTCAAGATTGAACAACTAAGAAGAAAGTCTGCAGCTTCACCGTTGAGACACGTCGATATTAGCTGTATATCTTTATTCAATTTTCGCAGTGCAAATAATGACTATTCTATACAAATTTTTGATACCTTAGGTTACATTAATGCAATTTTCGTGGGGATCTCTAATTTCTTTGAAAAAATATGGCCCACGTTAATCACTAATATTATAGCTTTTCATAGATGAAAGAATTTTTAAACACAAACAAAGATATAAAAAATATTTTTTCTTTTTATAATATTAAGAAGTATAGTATATAAGCTACTTTTGCTATGACTTTAGTAAGTATACACTTAGTAAGCCTGCATACGTAAAGCCTGCTGTGACTTAACTTGAATGACTTTTAAATATTATTTAATTAATTTTTAATATAATTTTTTTTTTATTTTTATGACGAAAATGATAGTAAAAATACCTGATAATATGCTAGTAGGTGAACCGGGTGAGTCGTTGCTGTTATTGCTGTCTGTCGTGGCCGAGGACGGGAGCCCTACACCACTGAGTTCAATCTCATCTAATCCATTGATGTCTTCATATATGTATTCATTCTCTTCATAGCCCGGTTCCAGTGATGATACTATATAGTATTCTACATCTTCTTTTATTCTTTTTATCTGGAATTGTAAATAATTTTGGTTAACAAAACATATACAAATATTTATAAAATATAATAAATAATATGAATACCTTTGTGGATATGGCCAATAATACATCTAAATATATGCTGAGTCTCATTCATTTACCATACCAAGTTTTTTTTATGTAATTGTTATGCTTATATACAAATTACAAACATATATGCCACAGAATCTTTTCTATTAAAAAAAAATGTGAGGGCCTGATCCAAAATGAAGTGAGGCCCAGCAGTGGATGGTCAAAAAGGGTGGAATATAACATAACATGTAACATACAAGTGTTTTGACAATTTATTCTTCTGGTATTCACCAACACAGCACTGGGTCAACATGATATATTACATATAAAATGATAGAATAACATTATTTGAATGGAGAGCGAGATTTTTTTATACAGTTCTCGAGGAACAATTATGTGTCTTGCAAGTTATTCCTATTTACTTAAAATAATCTATACTAATATTATAAAGAGGTAGAGTTGTTTGTTTGAAAGTACTAATCCCAGGAACTACTATTCCGATTTGAAAAATCCTTTTTACATTAGATACCCCATTTATTGAGGAAGGCTATAGGCTATATATCATCCTGCTACTACCCAAGGGAGTGCAGAAGTAATCACAAATGTCAACAAATCGGACAGACTTCAACACAACTTTCAAACAAATTTAACACAGGTGAAACCACAAGGCACAACTATTGAAAAATAAAATAAATACCTGTTCAACTTCCACAGACATGTTATCTAGCATTCGGAGGAGTGTTTCAAGTTTTTTTATATGGAACCTATGCCTCTCTAGTTTCAGTTTGAGCTCGTCCATACGATCCTGCTTCTCTTTGTCCAATCGTTTTTTCTTACCAACTAACAGTGACTCCACTTCAGACTCAAAAAGATCAATCTGGAATTAAAAATGTTAACTATTAAAAAAACTGTTTATTTACTTTATAAAAAAAATAACAAATATTATTATTTCAGATTAACTTCAACAGATTAAAAAATGCTGCTCATTATTTTCTAAACATTATTCATGTATTCAGCCAATTAAATATTTCACAACAAAAGAATTTTATAAACCAACACTTTTATGATAATATAAACTCAATGAAAAAAAGCAAGGCTTATTTATACAATGTTAATTATTGTTATACATTCAATGTTTAATATTATCATTTTAAGACATTGAACACAGTACACATATATATATCTTAATCTAGAACCAAATTTGGTAGATATTTTTTATTCACATGTAATAGTATGGTAACATGCTCACTTGGGAAACCGAGTGAAGCGGATTAAAATCCTGGTCTTTTTCATGTGCGAATCATTCCCAACATGATCACCACTTGTCTTACAGTAAAGGAAAACATTGTGAGGAAACCTGCATGTCTGAGAGAACCTTGCTATTTTCGAAAGACATGTGAAGTCTGTCAACTTGCACTTGGCAAGGGTGGTGGACTGTGTCCTGATTCCTCTCATTTTGAAGAGAGGCCCGTACCCAGCAGTGGGACATTAACAAGGACTTAATATCACTACTACATAATATATATTTATTCATTGAAGAGTTGATTGAGGAGGCACCATATTACTAATCCTACAGTGATTATTAGTTTAACTTTCCTTTAAAAGAAATGTATTGTATTATAGAACCTTAAGAAGTAGCAGGTTGTTACAGAACAATACATCACAAACATATGGTTGGACGTATATTCAATCACTTTTATATGTGTATGTAAAATTCAGTAAACTTAATGGATACCTGTAAATTAAGTGCATCAATAGAGGATATTAGCCACGAGGACATCTCCTCGCGTTCTTTTTGCGCCGGGTCGAGCTTCTGCGCCGCTCCCAGCCCTTCTTTAGAGTATGCTTTCGTTTTTGTTTCTCGCTCCACTACTTTGAACCTTTCCATTTGCTGAAATTTGAATATGATAAAGATAAGATATAGATTAACTTTATCTTTTATATGTTGTATATGTTGGAACATTAACACTCAGCTTAATCCAGTTCCATGGTAAACTACGAGGCTTGTGTTATGGATACCAGATAGTTGATACACTACATACTATTTCTTTAAATACATACATATTATAAATATAAGCATCCATGACTACAAGCATTTGTGCTCATCACACACTACAGCACAGCAAGTAGGGTCACTACAAACTGAGCCAAATGTGTCATCATCTTTTAACTTTATGCTTTATTTACTAAAATCTTCCCAGAAATATGTACTACATGTATTTAAATAAATATACTACATTACATAAATAAAACTATTAAAATTTATTCATTCGTTTTTGAGAAAATTGTAGCCATACACACATATAGTATATATAGTGGTTGAATACCTCATTTTTTAAGTTAGCAAATAAAACAACACAGTAATCATTAACAAGTCTAGAAAAATAGAATACAATTGAAGTTTTTTCCAACATATTTGCACTAACAAACCAAAAGGTATTTAAGTATGCCTAGATGCCGGTAATGAAGAAACAATCAGGGCAATTTATAATAGGTAGTGTAATAGAACAATAGATGAAAGTGAGATAAGGCATTATAATAAATGCAGTTATTCCCACAACGAATAAGAAAAAATGTGGTAATGTTAAACAATTTTGCATTAAATTCATATTTTATCCAATTTTTAATATCGTGAGATAGTTAAAACATTATTAAAACTTAGTATTTACAATTCACACAGTCACTTATGTTTGTATTTATAATAGCTCAGCAAAAACATGTTGTATGGTAGTCATATATAGGTGTACTCTTCAATTCCATATTCTTGCTAATGGCTTCAAAGCAACCCAGTTGGGCACAGGTTACTTCGCCAAAGTCACATAGAACAATAACTTTACAGTGACATCTTGTAAATTATCAAAACAATTTTAAGGACTGATACATGAAATTTTAAATTATTCTCATTATTTTGGCATTCATCCAGAGCTAGTAAAACCCCAAACTTTTCCACATATGGTTCCAATATGTTATATTCTCAATTATACTATTTTAATTCAAATTATTGCTGTATTAAGTCATACTATTCTTTCATTAAGGCAGGCATATATTCAGCCCTTTTTAAAGGCTGAATACATGCCTGTCAGGCATAGGCTTTCAAAATGTAAAAGTAGTATAATATTACAAAAACAACAATCTAATATCACTGTTGTATTTTGACTTACATTTTAAATAATATTGCTTATATTTACAGTGATAGCAAATATTTATCAGATATTCCATAGAGTAATTTATAACAATTATTTAAAAAACCTAGTTTTTTTAAAACTATATTTTCTTTACAGTACCACAGAAGTAAGCCAAAACAAAAAAACAATTCTACATGACATTGACAAAGTAATCTGTGCTCAACTCGCTTTGAAGCCATTAACAAGAAAATTTAAAATTTTATGTTATAAAGTTTATGTTACATATATGTTACATACCATCAGTGGGATGTGAATTTGAGTGTTTCAAATTAGAATTTTCTCATTATTTAATATTAACTATATACCATAAAATTTTTCAAAACATAAGAAGTATTAACATTTCATTATAACTCATGGCAAATGTTATTGTATTTAAAAAAAAAATACTTTTCTTAAAATATTCATATAAATTAATTTTGAATTAACTATTTTTGGATTAAAAATATAAATAATAAAGTACAACTGTTTTATAAGCAAAAAATCATAATATATATAAAAATCATAATATTGATTAAGGTTATCTTTACTTTTGATTTTCTTATCAAATAGAATCTATCATATAGTGGAAGATTAATAGAAGTTAACAAAGCTGAATAAAAACTTGAACTTTGGTTTTATAAATTATATAAAAAATATATAGTCATATAAATAAACCTATTTTAATTTCACTATATCCATGTAAGTTCAAGTACAGGAATAAAATATGAAAGAGTTGTGATCAAATGACTGACAGTTCTTAACTAAAATGTAACTAAATACTCGAAAAAAATAACTAGTAGGATAAATACTCACAGTTTCTATTAGTTTCCTATATTCTAAAAGTGTACTCTTATCCTTAATTTCACCCGAGGCGATCCATGACTTGATCTGATCCCGTAGCCTCTGGAGCTTTTTAATCTCCTTCTTGAGATCTGCCTCATATTTCTCCTTCTGATTACTGTTCGTCGCATTGTGTACTTTTTGCCAGATGTCCTCAAACGTCTCCACCCCTTCTGTGACCTTTTTTAAACACCTGTCTATCTCACCTGCAATAAACATATTCACTTCACAAATGAACTAAATAAACCTGTTTCACGAGCGCAATTTCCAATCGAACGCGCATTTATTGTCACTGATCACTAAATAAAATAACTAACTCAAGTTTTTATCGTACATCTATTTTAAATTTTGATAAACATCACGTTATTGAATTGGGAAAAGAAAATCTGCGTAAAAAAGGCACGTAGACACCGATCACACTGTCAATTCTTACGAATACCGCCTAGTATTCATTTTTACTGCAGTGCGTGAGATATTAGCAGGCAGTCACAAACATCGGCTGTAAAGCCGAGGTCTTAGCGGTTGGACAATAGAACTCTAGAACACGTATCTACATAGGTTGGGGTCAATCAATCTCTAACCTGATAACATTGTGAATTACCTTGTAATTTTCTTGTCGCAGCCATAGCTATTTATACATGTGGACGAACGTTCCGTACATATCCTAAACATACAAACTATTTACAGGGAAATGCACAAAAATGATTGATAAACAGACAAACTACACATCTGAAGCTTTGTTCGAATCCAAGATGGCTACCGTACACCGCTCGAACTGTTAGTGACTGAACGCATCCAGGCCGACCGCTACAGAATTATTCTGCCTCGCGCCTGGAATGGTAATTAGCGCGAAGCTTTCATAAATAATTATGGATATGTTGTCACTAAAACGACAAACTTCAAAATTTCCACAATATGATTTTAGGTACGTCGCGTAGACCATCGGTCAAGTGCGCAGGCGCAAAATAATAGAGCAGAGCATAGACAAAATGGTAACAAGATGACATATTGTTTGGAAAGTCTTTGCCTTAAAATGTAATGCAAATAACTTTAATGATTTGTGATTGGAAAAAATACTACTAATAGATCATAATAATATCTTGTATGTATGTATAGAATAATTGTAAATAACTTTTATATAATTTTAGTGTAGATAATTAAATTATTATATTATTGTAACGATAGATGGCACTGTAAGTCTTGTCAGTGAATAGTATCTCCATAAGTGTACAGATAGCGCTAATGTTATAAGCATATAGTATATTGCTACATATATAAATTTGGTTATAACTTATAAGCAACGGATACTCAGTTGAGTAGTCGTCGTTGGTTATAAGAATCAAGACTACTTGATAAACTGTATATAATAACATCACAAAATTGTAATTATTATGTACTCGAAATATTTTTCATATGTATTTGGAGAATATTTAGGATGCAATAGAAGCCAATTCTTCATTTTTTTATTTTTTTCATGTCTATTTGTTTTGTCAAACATTACTCAAGAAAACCTGAACTGCGTAAGATGGGATTAATACTTCAAGAGTGGGTGGGTCTAAGGAAGAGAATGTTTACTCTTTCGTGAGTGGACCCATATAAATTTAAAACAAATCTTATTATTAGGGATGAAATAATTACTACTGCGACCTTGAATTAAGTCGATGTTCCTTTTTTCCTTGTGGGTTTATTTAATTCAATCGAGATCCACTTCACGATCTTAATTCTAAAGATACCTACCGTTTGAGATATTCGTTTTGCGCGCTGTCTTATAAAACAATGGATGGATGGATGGAGAGTCGAGAGATATAAATGGAAAAACACTGGCTACTGCTAGTGTACTACTAGTAATCAAAATGTTTCAATCATAGATAATGCTATTCATTATAATATTATATAGTATCTTAGCTTCTACTTGCGTTTATTTCCTTATTAACCGACTTCCAAAAAGGAAGAGGTTCTTAATTCGTCGGAATCTTTTCAACCGACTTCCTCAAAAAGGAGGAGGTTCTCAATTCGGCTGTATTTTTTTTTATGTTTGTTGCATCAGAACTCCGTTATTTATTAACCGATTTGGACAATTTTTGTTTTGTTTGAAAGTGTATACTTCCAGATTGGTCCCATTTAAATTTCAAAAAAAATATCACCCTAAGGGTGGAAAAATAGCTAATGATGAATTTAACCTACTTCTAATTGTCATATTGACTTGAAATTTTGCAAGTGTTTCTATTTCCGTTAGTAATACTGTGGTTCGGTATTGTTGACCTGATCTGATATTAAGGCCAGAAGGTGGATAGGTGGAACTCTTCAACGGCTAATAGTAGATACTTTGAGTTTGGGCTTATTTTGTTTGATTTGACAAACCTAACATGTTAGAATTCTCACTTTGCTACTACTGTCTACACTAAAAAGGGAAAAATAAAAACTTTTACACAAAAAAATAAAAACCGACTTCAAACAAAAGCAGTAAAAAGTAAAAAATAACTGATTGGTAGTTTTCATTTACTATACATACCTAATTAAATATTTTTGAAGTTGGTGCCAGTCGATACAAAGCACTCAATTCGTCGGAATCTTTTTTTTTATGTATGTTCACCGATTACTCAAAGACGCCTGAACCGATTTCGAATTTTTTTTTGTTTCAAAGGGTATACTTCCCAGGTGGTCCCATTTAAAATTTATCGAAATCGGTCGAGCGGTTTTTCAAAAATCGCTTAATCGAATATGTTATTAAAAAACTTTCTTCTTACAAATTACGTGCTTATTACGTCTACATTAAAAATGGAAAAATAAAAACTTAAAAAAATATATATGTATTTTACGTATCGAAATATATTAGATTTGTAATTTTTCGTCCCTAAAACAATCCATTGGCAGTGAAGAATTTTCCTATGGAAAGAGTGCGTGCTTCTATTGATAACTGGCCTTAACGTTTAAAGGACTGTATTGCAGCCAATGGAGACCACTTCGAAAAAGCTTTATATATTTTAATGGTTTTATATTCATGTATTTAACTAACATACTGTAATAGGAATAAATGTTACGTTCAATAGATTTTTTTTTCTTTGTAATAATATTTATGGCAAGACTATGTATATTTTTTATATTGTCATAAGGATTTCACATAGTATTTAATCAATTATAATGAGAATTATAATTAGGTTAAAATCGATTTACGAAATATTACATAGGTAGTTATTACGTAGGTTACACAAAGAAAGATAACATTAACGTGTTAAATGAAAACTTAAAAAAACCGACTTCCAGGCACTAAATGTAAAAAAATAAAAATAACTAAACGGAGGTTTTCATTTCGAATAGATACCTAATCAGATATTTTCGAAGTCGGTGCCAGCCGATGCAAAGCAAATCAGCGATTCGGTTCTCTTTATCACCCCACTCCATTTTAATATCACAAAATGTTTTACAATGTATTGGCGCGAAAATGAGAAAGCACAGTGAAAAATCATATAAAAATGACAAATTCCAAATTCAAATGTAATATTTTGTTTATTTTTAATTGTAGTAGTATTTATGCCCAGACTATGTATAATCGGTCTGTGGATGGTGAATCCATTGCAATTGGTCAATGGTCAATAGGGAATATGCGTGTCCCCCCCAACGTGCGTTCACCTTGTCGTGGTGGGGGGGCTCAGTAGTGCCCGGTAATACAGCCGGGCGCGAAGCCAAGAAACGCACAGGGAGGTGGCCCACTTCGGTGGGCGGTGATAGGTGGCCCTCTTCGGAGGGCGGTGTACCATGCGGGTTGCTCCTGGTACTTCTCTGATAGCAGAGTGGACTTTGGAGCAACCCCATGGTCGTTGTGGTCTGCCTCGGCAGACCTGCCGTCGGGGCGTCGTAGTTGAATGCGTAAGCGATCCTGCGACGCCCCATTAAGACGGGGGAAGGTTTTGTTGGGTTTTAGTGGGTAGTACTGGCTTCGCCGGTGAGTCCCACACCTCGTGCGTAAATGCATTTCCCAACGTTAAAAAAAAAAAGGGGAATATGCGTGTGATTTAAATAAAGGTGAAATATTTGCTTTAAAATCTTTGTTGCTTATATCAATATAAGCCTATATAAATAGTTTTCAATATAATTTCCTTTTGTTAAAATAATAATTATTAAAAGTTCTGTTAATGGTGAGAAATTCAAAGTAGTTGAAACGCACGCCATTGGTCAGACCGAATATGACGTCAAAGTATTTTCATATTATAGCGATTAGTGACTTTGTCGCTACAAAGTAAAGTCGTTATTTTCCTATGTGTGATACTTTGACGTCACGCCAAGCACGCGAAACGACGGGCGTTTAAAGTATCCGTATCGGTAGGATATTTTTAAATATTTTTATTATGCTTAGTTTTTGATATCGATATTTTTTGTATTTTTTTAATAATATATATTTTTTAATAATATATTATTTATTGACATAATTTTAAACATACACAAGTCATGATGATTTCCCTAGCCCCTGCGCTCCTTAAAAACAGTGTTGCAGGAGCCAAAACTGTGAAACAAAACAGCACCTCCAGGTAAATTTCTAAGAAATCTATTGTTAACTGTAACGCCGGCGTGTCCGCGGGTCCGTGGAGGGATTATATGAAGATGTTAGATATTGTGTAAAAATTAAAAAAAAATCCCGCATATTCCCTATTGGCGTGTTTATTTTTTAGTTTTCTGGCAGTGGTAGCCCAGTGGTAACGCGCTCGCTTGGGAAACCGAGTGAAGCGAGTTCAAATTCCGGGTCTCGCACCTCTGATATTTTCATGTGCGATTTCCAACATGATTACCACTTGTCATAACGGTGAAGGAAAACATCGTGAAGAAACCTGCATGTCTGAGAGAACCTAGCAAGTTTTCAAAAGACATGTGAAGTCCGCCAACCCGGACTTGGCCAGCGTGGTGGACTATGGCCTGATTCCCCACGTACTGAAGGGAGGCCCACCCCCAGCAGTGGGACGTTGCAAAGGGCTGAATACAATATTTTGTTACGAAAAGTAAGTATAACTGCGTATTTAGATCTAACTACTTCAATGAAGTGAAACCTATATAAAGCTAGACCATAAATATATTAATAAACCAAAACACATCACAAAAATTCTAAATGCTTGTTTTGGATTCTTCATTCTAAACATTCTGCCTAATATCAAAAACATTTTTCTAATATTTTATTTAACACGTATTATAAAATTGTATTATGTAATACGTACCGAAAATCTAAATTATATTATTTTAGAAGAAAATTCAGGTTCCCCGTGAAATTTTTTTTTATAAAATTATACATTACTCAGTCGCTATTGAGATAAATATTAGATATATTTTATCTAATAAAATTTTCATGCTTTTATTTCATCTTAAATGTCTTAATAAAGTTAATAATTTATTATGCCCCATAAAAGTCAGTGTATGAGTTTTTAATTATAAAGTTCTTAAATGCATGAGTTTAAGGCATAAAATGCTAAAGCAAAGTAATAACTAATAAACCTTGTATTCTAAATGTCGGATCAAAACGTTATGATAAATAAGACTATGAACTTACGTGGCCACCGCAAAAAATATACTAATAAATAGCAAATTAAATCCATACTTCCATATTAATAATATAAATGTGAAAGTATGTTTGTTTGTTTAT